GACATTCTATCCTGTAGAAGCTGTTCAAAAAGTACACCATGGGATACAGTAATTGAATTGCTTTGCTGAAGGTAATGTGAACTTAATGTTCCCACAATCTAATCTTTGGTTTGTGTTTATTAAATTTTAGTCTCATAGAAATTACAGCATACAGCCATTCGGATCACCTATGAGCAAGATTGTACAAGATCACCTACTGGAGTAATAGCTTTCCTAACCCCAATTCGCTGCTCTATTCAAAATGTTTATCTAAATCCATTTTGATATGTTATCGCCTCATCTTAAATTTGTCACTTGCGAGAAAATAATTCATAATAACTAATAACTCTTGTGTGTGAAAGTTTCTTCTAAAGATCCCCCTTAAACCTTCCAATTGCAATCCTGCTCTTATTCCAGTTTACTCAGTAGCACGTAAAATCATTCACGGCACAGCCTCAATACTTGTCATAATTTTGAAGACTTCTGTTAGATGCATTGTGGAACTTTTCTGTTCCAGTTGACATCAGCCAAAATTAATCCATCAATTGTCACATTTTAGTACAATAAGATCTAATTTACAGGACAGACACAATGAGGAAGTCTCCCTCCAGCTAATTGTGCTTACAGCCTTGTGAAATATCTGGGAAGTGACCAACGGAAATGTTGTCTCATACATAGCCTGTTTGCCTTGCAAACTTGCAACTGTTTACAGCTGGTTCATTCTTCTCTTATGAAAGGGATTCAGATATTCTGCATCCAGTTTTTTTGCACAATACAAACAATTGTAAAAATCTGAAGCAATTGTGGGCCATTCATAGCAAACGGTCCGTTCCAGCCAAGAACATTAACTAACTAACGTAAAATTCAATTTTTGTTAGAAACCCGTTGTACTGGGATAGGACTGATATAGCCTGAGGCAGTTCTGTTCAGCGAATCATTCAAAGGCTTAAGGCTTTTGTTTGGGGGCACATAACCTAATTGTAGATCTGCACAGTGAATCTACGCCTGTTATTCAACCACTTTTGAACAGGATACCTGGAGGCTTGTCATTATCGCAGTAACCTTTTTAGTATTAACAGAGCTCAGTTCAGCTTTGAAAGGGTTGTCGTCATGATTCTAGCATTTTACTGACGATCAAACTAGAGTATCGGAGAGCACCTCAGTAGTCTTTCATGCGGGCACTAAATTTTTGGCCCAAAAGCCGTAGGATGCCTGGGGTGGAAACAAATTTAATTGTTGTTTAGTGGGAGATCTTATTTGGAGGAAGTAATCAGAGCTTTGCTTTGCATCTTGCTGTACCTAAGTTGGAAGTGAATTGATACTTGGTACCTATGTGTGAGGGGAAAAAGATTCCATTCCCCAACATTAGCATCCCCTACCTTTTTGAGCACAAAAAAATTGACTGAACAAATCCAGCTGTGCCTTGAGCTGGGCACATTGCTCTATTGAAAATGAGCTATGCTTTTCAACTATTAACAACTGAGTGTAAAGCTGACACTGACATTCTTGTGTGTAAGTCAGACCCTTAGTTATACCTGGACTTTAAGGCCTAAGGAAACACTACGTAATGTACTGTACAACTGTGAATCAAGGATAATACAATACAAAATTACATCTGCACAGCGCCTTTCACGTCGCGAGGATGTCTCAAGGCCTTGGACAGTCAGGGACTGTGAGAGCTAAAGTACTTGGTGCTCATGTGGTGGGATCTTGCTTCACACTGTCGACTGGCATCATGGAAGGAAGAAATTCCTGCTGCAAGTATCAATGGGAAATGTAAGACTCTGTATTGGCTGGACATATTTATTCAGGTCAGCAGTTTTGCAGTTTTTTTTTTGCTTGTGTGAAGTTTCTCCCATCCCTCCACCCACCAGTGCAGCGGCAAAATACAGTCACGAGCGTGCAATCTAACCATCTGTCAGGAAGTGAGACTTTAAGGTACTGGTTTATTTTTGAATCAACAGAGAATTTTAAACATGCCATAAAAATTATTGGAATGCTCCAAATTGTACAACTTTGTTTTCCCTTACTCCCACCCCACTCCCCTCCTCTTTTAACAAAAAGACTTGAATTAGAAAAAATGCTGATTTTTCTTCACCAACATTTTCAAACCTGTTTCGTTAGATGGTAAAAAAAAACAAGACAAGATTCCAGTAATTTATGAAGAAGTACAGCCACCCAGCTCTATAGACGTCTGACTGCACATTTTTGTTCTGACTGGCTTGTTTCATGCATCCAGATTGTATGGTAAATTGACACTGTCTTTAAGGAACTGTTTCTTTGCAGTTTTAAATGCAGCCCTTGGGATCAACGATCGAACATAGATCACAAAATAGGTTTGATGAAAAATACATTTCGGCCCATCTCATCCTTCCAGAATACTCGCCCTGACACCTTCTAATCACAGCATTTTGTGTGTTGAATGAGTTTGTTTCAATGGCCTCAATCACCCTTCCTAACAGAAAACCGGTTCATTAATTATCCTCTGGGTAAAGACATACATACTTCCTGGTATCTGTCCTGAAAGTGTCCTTCGCCAAACCCATGTCCTCTTGTTTTACCGTAGTTGTGCGTCTGAAAGTATTGTTCTGGGTTTACTTTTTCAATTCCACCCAAAGTTTGTTTGCAACTCAGTAAGGTCAAGATTGACGTATTTCTCATGTTTAGGAAAGTAGAGTGTTTGTTTTGGAGTTTCATGTATACAGAGCCTCGCTGAGCATCTCTTCAAAGAAGACTGATAAAGGTCATTTGTCAATGTTATTTCTTGGGGTCAAAATTATTACTTTGAGTGAGAGAGGTGCCCCAAGTCTTTTAGTCTCTCCTTAGGCCTGAGGTGCAAGATCAATTGTTGGTTCTGCACCTTTACCAACATGTCTTATCTACTAGATGTTGGCAGATGCTCTTTGTGTGCATGTGGTTGGCACGGAAAGGAAGGAAGAAGATAGTGTCTTACAGGTTTGCATAACTTGTGGCCGGTTTAATATTAAGCTCTTCTCTTACTCCCTTTATGGATGCAGCTTTTGGATTAGACTAAACAAAATTACAACGGAGTCGCTTAAGATGGCTTTCAAAAAAAATGCAATGTCTGTGTCCAGGAGCCAAGTAAACAGAAGTCTGCTCCAGTGTTTCGTTGGAACCTATATTCCTGCTCCATGTAAACCAAAGGGAGGGGAGGGAGATAAGTGAGTACTGCTGTCTGTGGCACTTCGTAACCAACCAGGTATTTCGCCAGTAACAAATATGGGAAAAGGGAATTAAAGTGACTTTGAGAATCACGTTGTATTTTAAAGGCAACCATTCAGGAGTATGGTAAAATCTTGCTAACTGCCTGGGGTGGTGATGACAATCTATGTAGGCTGTTCAATTTCCTGACAACATTTACGTTTGCCTTTTGCAATAAAAATGCAGGAATAATTTCTGTCTATTCAAATACCTCGACATTGATAATTGCTGCAATCTTTCAGATTGCCTTTTCCTATGATCCAAATCCATTGAGCCAGTTGTTTCAGGACAATGTTCGTGCTTACTTCTCGTGTTTCTTAAGCCTGTGTTTTTTTAAAAGTGGCATGTTTGGAGCACTCAATAAATATAATTGAAACCGTAACTTACAGGCTCAATACTTTTGTTGCTACTAAGTGCATCAAATGCCAATGCTGAGATTTTGCTCTATCAGAGAACCTTTTGCTCTGTCGAGGTTTAGTATCACAGATGTCATCTACCATCTAAATCCAGTTGTTAATGAAGCAAATCTAAGTTGAGGTGATTTCTCACCAGATCTGAAACGGTCAGGTGAATCTGAGTTATTTGTAGCAATGGGGCTCTGCCTATCTGATTATGAAGAGCTGTTGTGCTCTTTGAGTTCCACCTCAAATCCTACCACTTTGAATGTATCTATGGCCACTGCTCTCTATCTCTCCCACCCCCATCTCCCCGTCCAATCCTTTCATCTGAAACACTCCGAAATGTTACCCTTATGTGAAGGGTGCTGTATAAAATGCAAATTGCTGCATTTCTGGGACAGACAAAAGAGGTTCCGAGTGTCTAGAAATTGGTCAATTGCTGAGGGTAGAGCCTTTGTACTATTGTAATTTGCCTATTTTTAACTCCTGAGAGGACTGGATACCTATAACATGCGACTCAGTGTTAAGTCTTTTGTTGGTGGTTGAGGGGGCGGGGAGGCAGGGGGAGGAGGTTATAACAAATATTTTCAGGGTTTTCATTCACATAACATGGAATGGGGAATCATGGTTGCGGCGCTTGTTGCCTTTTATTCTGGAACAAAACCTAAACTGCACCATGATTGTACCGGTGTTGTGTGCCCAATTAAACCTTTCTTTTAAATGACGGCTTCACAATGATCAGCTTGTAACATGGTCCGCTGTGAGACTGTGGCTGTCTTGGTTCAACACCTCTCAGAGGGTTGCATGTGCTTTTTTTAAAATTTGTAATATGTTTCCTTCCCACCCCCAAATTCAGACAAAACGAAAAAGTTCAACTGTAAAACAAAAAAAGTGTCTTTTTCGCTTTTCTTTGTCCGGCGAGGAGAGCTTTAAGATGGAAACAAAACACGTAATTTAACCCTTGCTCCCTCAGCAAAGGCATCCGCTAGGCATTCGGTTTAGGAATCTATTTTGGACTAAGACCAGATGTGCTTACTTAAGTAGTTTTGTTTCAACCAGATCAATCGAGGGACAGATGCAGCTAGATTATTTTGCATTCGCTTTCTTGAACAAATGCTGTCAACACGTCTGGGCGAAATTTAAACCTGAAACATGTAATAGAAGGCGTATAAGCCTAGATCTCTTCAATACAGTATATGCAGCTCACTTTGCTTCCTGTTTTTCTTCACCTCAAATGGAGATGCTGTCAGATAAAGGTGTTGAATAAAGCAATTAAAAGCTTTGATAAGATGTTTTGAAATTTATTCAGTGCTCTCGCTTTAATTTTTCTTTGCTTTGCAGTGGCAGTGCCTAAGATTCGACTTGTATCAAAGTAATTTGAGTCTTTTTTCCCTCCTTTAGGCATTCCTACATAGGAATCATCAGAATGACGCTGAGAAATCTGAAAAGCAAATCACTGAAGACAACCTCAAGGTATAACCTGGACAAAATGCTGAAATATTTCAATAAAAGGACTTTCTCTGGATATTTTTGGTGTCCAAAAAGGGCGATCCTTCAAGACCCTCCGCTTCGACCGTGCCTTTGGTCATCTTCCTACCCATACCCTCCCCCCCACCCCTCCACCCTTCCTGATCCTAACCACCAGCTCGGGTGTGGATCCCTGACCGTCCAGCGCCTTGGCATGTCCTCCTGACGTGAAAGGCGCTGTACAAATGTAATTTGTCGTTGTTGGTTGTTGATCCCACTCGACTCTCTTCGGGTTGAGCAAGACTGTCTGAAATAAATGCAGCTGGGTGAATACACATGCACGTGTTGCCTCGAATTCCGATCTGTAAAGAAAGAGTGGATTCCAGGCACCAACATCCTAAGGCTATTTCTCGAGAAGTCTGTAATCTAACAGTAGGATTACACTAGAAATTGGCAAGCAAGCTACTGTTTAAATTCCAGTTTCAGCTGACATTTGCATTCCAGCTTCCCCCAGAGGGTGATCAGCATTCTCAGCTAGGTCATTGGTTATAGCGCCAGATGGAGGTGAGATGCTGAGACATTTAACAATGCTTTCTCCTTTAGTTACACTCGGGCTTCATCAAACTCGAAACTACCCTGAGAACCAATCTCAAGTGCCCTGAGGCTTCCTGATGCCTTGAAATGTGCCCCAATATTTTGCTTGAGGTGGAATTCAAGGCACCAGAGCCAGAGATGTCCTGTGGTATTTCTGTCCTGAGTTTGTGTAAACCTGTGAATGCAACACCTTTCCCAACCCAGATCCACCCAGTCATTTCCTTTGTGCTTGTTTGTGGGGACGTTGTCATGCCCAGATTGGCTGCCACGTTCACCTACAACATACACAGTCATACAGTCAAATCCTGTGAAGCGCTTTGAGATGTTCTTCCGGCATGAAAAGGCACCGTGTCGCACGCGAGGGTTATTATTATGACCTGAATCCTTTTCTTTTTGACCATGAAAGTTCTCTGATCTCCGGGGAGGCAGGACGAATCACCTCAAGACATGATGGTGATTGTCCGCAGAGATAACATCACAGATGCCTTAATGTCACGATGCTGGCACCCACCACATGGCAGCCGTTATCGTCAGATTTATAATCTCAAAGGTTTTTTTTTAAAGAAGAACAAACCGTTTTATTCTGTTCTCTGTACACTGTTGGTTGCAGCCTCAGGTGGTATTTAAGCCTGCGTGGATTCGTTGCAGGAAAGTCAACCTTTTACATATTGGTCTGAATGGCAAGCAAGATTGACTCATCTCGATTGATGTGGTGTAACATAATTGGGAAAATGTCTGCTTTCAGACTAAATGTGTGGACACTGAACCTCACTGTGTTATTTTCAAAATGATCTCTTGCACATCTCTTGCAAACACAAGTGCACCCATACATATCGTGGCAGTGATAACAAGCGCAGAATTATTTCTGCGGGGCAAACACAAATCGCATCACTTTCCGCGGGGGAACAAATTTACAATTCGGTGCCGTTATATCCGAATTTCCAGAACTAACGGCTAAATCTATATATTTTTTTAATCGCACAGAAAATCAATTTGGTATTTCTTTCTGAACAGAGCTAGAACTGACTTTAAATGGACAAGCTTTTGATTGTATGGTAACTTCCAGTTGACTATTGTCCTTAAAGTGAATCATCATCCACGAAAACCTGCCTAGTAATGTATCCTGACATAAGATACTTATTCATGGCGCACTTGTCATTGTGAAACCAGCGAAGGAGCCCAGATCCACATTGGGCAGCTGCAATACAGCTGTCGCTAGTGTTTTTGCCCATTTACTTGGCCTGTAGAATCCCAGGTGCTGGCAGCAACATGGGAACCACTGGCCTTGTGCAAATACATGCAATTGTATTCCTAGTTGCAATTTTTTTCTCTGGTCATGGACTGTATTATTGTATCATTGGCTTGGTAAGCGGATCTTGCTCAGATCCCCCACCCAAACGCACCCATTTATCTTGATCTGTAGGTTGTCAGCAGGTCGATTTTCCAGGGGGTAATAATCCCTTCATAAAATTAAATAATAATTTGGTCACTTCAATCCACGACTCTTTATGGGACACTGCTGTGCACAATTGGCTGTCAGGTTTCGCCCACAAAATATACAGTCAGTTCCCTTTACAGTACATTTCTGTGAAGTGCTTTGAGACGTCTCGAAGACGTGATAAGGCGCTATATCAAATACAAGGATTTATTATGTGTTATTGTCTCCAGAGGTGGCAATAAAGACCAGGCCAGGGGAGGTGGTAATAATTAGCTCCAGAGATGAGATTAGCTGACATACCTATCTCTGTCAACAGGGCTGCCTTTGGTGATGGTGCTAAAAGCTGAATGGGAAAGTAATAGGGAGTAAAATTTGATTGCGCTCTCTGAATATACCTGCACTGTGTTTTGCCAAGGAAGTTCAAAAATACAAACACTTGTCTCCAGTCTCGTTTTCCTGATATCAATCAACCAAAAAGCCTCTTCTTATAACTTGCTCTAATTTCATGATTTGGAAACCACATTAGAGGTGGGATGAGCAATATAGATATCTTTAGTTGTAATGAAACCCATCAAGGTTACGCCCGTTTGTTTCCTGTTCAAAATGTCGTTCTAATTTACAAATTGAGCAGGATTTGAAAGCAGGTTTGTTTTTCCACCCACAAAATATAGCCACCTTTTACAGTATATTCTGTGAAGTGCTTTGAGACTTCTCGAAGACATGATAATAATAATAATCCTTGCATTTGATATAGCGCTTTTCACGTCTTCTAGACATCTCAAAGCGCTTCACAGAATAGACTAAATAATAATAATAATAATAATCCTTGCATTTGATATAGCGCTTTTCACGTCGGAAGGACGTCCCAAAGCGCTTCACAGAACACACTGTAAAGTGAATTGACTGTAAATTTGTGGGAGAACGCGGCAGCCAATTGCGCACAGCAGTGTCCCACAAACAGTCGTGGATTGAAATGACCAATTTATTATTGTTTCTTTTCTTGAGCGATTATTATCAGGCGTGTGGAGTAAGGAAACTTGCCCAAGGTTTCACCCTGCCTGGGAATCGAACCCAGGTCTCTCGCTTGCAAATAGTGCCTTATCACATCTTCGAGACGTCTCAAAGCACTTCACAGAATATACTGTCAAATGAATTGACTGTATTTTTTGTGGACGATAAGGCACTATATCAAATGCAAGGATTATTATATTAATATTTAATGGAAACTAAACCTCTCCTTCTGATGAAAGATTTTTTTCCCTCTCCTTTCTCCTCCCCAGCGAGCGAAGTCTTTGAAATGGTGAACACTGGTGAATGCTGATTCTCTCTTCCTTTTGCTCTGGGTTCTCAGATTTTATTTTCTAACCTCGAAGACATACTTGACGTGCACAAGGAGTTCCTGGCGGGTCTCGAGAGCAGTTTACAACCAGAGCCACAGCCTCAGCACGAACTTGGAAACATCTTCCTCCAGTTTGTGAGTGCAATGACTTCATGCTATATTCTTGCTATTTTCCTCAGGCTGCTTCCTGTCATGTGATTTTTGGTCTTTTAAATCTGGCAGCTTTTTGACTCCAGCTTTCTTCCACCGCATAAATCTCCCATGGTAACCTGCAAAGTCGTGGGCCTACAGATCCTGGTCTTTATAGAGAGGGAGAGTATGTGTGAGAGAAAGAGAGATAGAGAAAATAAAGTCACGTGGCTTCAGTGTTTGTCTAGCTTTCTGCAGTGTCTTTAAGCTTCATGACTATTTAAATTGCCAAACCCAACCCAGCAATTTGTTTAAAAGCACATTTTATTTTTCTCGCTTATAAAAAGGAAGCGGTACATTGTCTCCTTCCTTAATTCTTCCTTCCCTTTGTTCCAAAAGCAATGATTCACACTTGGGTTCAGTCCCACTGCTCCTGGCAGCCTTTCACAAACCCTCAGGTGTTGATTCCTTTATCCATGAGTGTAGGTGATGTGGACTCTACACAACTATGTGCAGGACAGTCAGGACCGATAATGTACTGTCCTTACTTGATATTTGTATAAGCAGGAAGATCAGGAGCAGGAACCCTAGTTGAGGTCTCACTGCTTCCTTGGAACCCTGAAAATTTCTAACCGTAACCCCTCATAGAGAAAGTGCGTTGCCAAGGTAGGATCATCCTGTCTTTTAGGGCTTTGGCTTCAAGTCTCAGTCATAATCCAGACAGATTCATCGACAGTCAGCAGTGCCTTTGGATTAGTTTTTAACAATAGCGATTTACTGACTTCAGTCGGGTAAATGGTTAAAATCTTATCAGGATTCAATCCCAGGATTCAACGTCTGTTCACAAGTTTGCCATCTAATCTGGGAACAAGTTACTTTAATGGGAGTGCAGATTTTACAAAACATTACTTGTATCTAGTGCAGGAAGCTGAGCTGATCGCTTGGATATTCCCAAAAGCCTCACCCACCTCCCAATTCAGACTTGGTGGCTGAGTTTGATTTATGCAACTGGGTCTTAATGTAAGTGAGACTCAGATAATGTAACATTAAACACTGGTTTGCATTTTAGTCTCTCTTCTGCCTCCCCATCCCCATCAACAATGGCTGTTCACCTTCGTACATTAGTGATAGGTCAGTGAGCCCTGGATTCCTCTCTAACCTCTGATACTGTGACTCTGTCATCAGGAGATTGGTTTCCCTCAGGGTGAGGAGGAAAGCCATTATCAGGGCACAAAAATAAACATGTCTCTTGTGCGTACCAGATGAAACGCATTAAATATAACTGCTTATTTGCCTAACCAACACACTGCCTGTGCTGTGCTTCATCAAATGGCTATCTATTGACTTCCCACTGATCAGTGTGATAAGATTCTACAGAGCCACAAAAGAATCTTAGCTGCGTGCTGTCCTCACTTCACCCATTGAACGGCATCTCTGCACAAGCACCACTAATGTCATTTTTTTTCTTAAAATAATGCATTGTGTTTGTAAACTACAAATTTTGATCTTTCTGAGCACTTAGAAAAACTGGGATCTGTACAAATGAGATGAATCAACTCTTATTACTGCTCTCTCTAATAGTTGGCCCCGCTCCATTAACAGATTATTATTCTTATATCCTATGAATTATCTGCTATCAGATACCTAGAGAATAGCAGAAGTATCTTAATGTCTACCTCATGGACTGCTAGTTCAGGAAGACACTTGAATATTAAGGAAGTAATGTTAAATTCATGTAAAACCTTGGTTAGACCGCATTTGCAGCACTGTGTGCAGTTCTGGTTACCATGCTACATACAGGAAGGTTATTGTAGCAATGGAGAGAGAGTGCTGTGTCGATTTACCAGGATATTCCCAGGGACACAGCATTCGAGAAAGACTATGACAGGTTGGGGCACTTTTCGTCTGGGAGATGAAGAGTTTGACTGGGGACCTGATGGAGGTGTTTAATATTATGACAGTGTCTGATTACGTCGACAGTAATTGACTGTTTCCACTTGTTGCTGGATCCATAACATGGAAGCTTAAATATAAGATAGCCATGAGCAGAGCTAAAAGGGAGTTTAGGAGGAACTTCGTTACCCCAGAGGGCGGTGAGAATGTAGAACTCACTGGTGGATGGAAGCTGTGGTTCAAGCAGAAAGCATCAGTGAATTTAAGTGAATTTAAGTGGAAACGGGATGCATACATGAGCGAGGAGCGAATAAAGGGGTATGAGAGGGGATTAGGAGGATTGGAGGCTCATATGGAATATAAACACTGGCATGGATCACAATGGTCTGAATGAGCTGTTTTGGTGCTATGCTGCCTATGTAACTCTATGCATGCTTTTTGTTAACTCCATGGTCTCACTGATATCATTAAAATACCCTTTAAGCATTGGTGCTGTTTTTGCTGTCGTTCCCAACAGTGCCACTGGTGAAATTGTCCCAAAGGAGGATAGTTTAATTATCACAGGATTATCTTGTATTTTTATCTTTGTAACTCACAGTCACTTGTAATATTACAAGAATATAAATCCATGTCGCAATTACAGTAGTAGGTCAGAGACTGAATTCAAGCCAGCAGTATATTTCCAGCACTGCCAGTTAGTGGTAAGGCTGGATTACCAGCATTGCTGTTCATAGTTCTTCGTATTTACACTCTTAAGAGACCCAGACAGGAGATTTTAAAGCCTAAAATGTTTTGAAATATTTGGGTGGGGCAGTACTTGCCATTAATGTGCAACTGAATCCAACTGAGAGAGGTTTAAGATGCTGTAAGAGATAGCAGGAATTAATGTCTGCATAATTTATTGTATTTTTTTGATTATATGAAAGTCAGATAATAGAATTTAAATCGCCTACAAAATATACAGTCCATTTTACAATAGATCCAGTGAAGCGCATTGAGAGGTCTTGATGACATGATGAGGCAAATGCAAGGATTGTTGTTGTTGTATAAAGGAAATAGTAAATGGCAAGCCGTTGATCAAAACATTTGTGCTGCTCATAAGGACTGTGTCGTACATGTGGAGTTGTGAGGTTCTGCAGCTGCCTCGGTCATGGGAATAAATTGTCATTTTTAATGGCTTGACATCTCAATCGGGTGATTGTTTTTCAAGTGTGCTTGAATATTGAAGGGATCATTAGAAATGACCGAGTCAGGAAATCAGAGAGCGAGGGAGCCCTCTGAAAGCCCGCATCTCTCTTCCTTCAGGCCAACCCTTCAGCTTTGCTTCTGTTTATGCATTCTTTTTAAATGTGCAATGTGCATGTGATACATCGGCTAGACCAAACCCGTGATGAGTTCTATTTATGGAAAGTTTATTTTGATTCCAGAACTTCTTCCATGATTATTTTGGAGGGGGCAAGAATTTGCATTTCTGATGGGAGATTTTTTAAAAAAAATTAAATGCCAAAATTAAGGAAGATTTGGCTTGATGTTAGAATTTCATACTTTAATTCTTTTAAATATTTTGAATTATCTTGATTAGTACAGATGTGCTTTAACCAACCAACACTGTACTACGACACCTAAAATGTATGTATTTGGATGATTAGGAGTCCTGTAGTTCAGTGGTTAGAGCACTCGCCTCACAAGCGAAAGACTTAGGTTCGGTTCCTGGTAGAGCGAAACTTTGGGCAAGTTTCCTTACTTCATACGCCTGATAGTAATCCCTCAAGAAAAAATATAATAATAATAATTTGGTCACAAACATTCAGTCAATTCACTTTACTGTATATTCTGTGAAGCCTTGTGAGATGTCTAGAAGACATAAAAAGCGCTATATCAAATGCAAGGATTATATAGAAAAGTATTGCCTAGTTCTCAATTTAAAAAAAAACTGGAAGTAATTTATGAATTTCTTCTCAATTCAATGGTACTGAATAACATGATCTCTACTCCTTTGGGGAGTTTATATCTCTGACCATACAATATTATTAACAGTGAAAAAGTTGGAGGAATCTGCAAATACTGTTTTATGAGGGAACCATGCTGTGTAATTGCAGTTATAACAGACAGAAAACAAGACAATGACTTAAAAAATTCAGTCTTGTGCCATTTGTAGCACTTTTGTTCTGAGTCAGAACGATGTGGCTTCAAATCCACACCAGAACTGGACCACATTAAACACTGACATTCCAGTGCAGTACTTTAGAGGTGATATTTCAGTCTGGAAAATTGCCTTTTGAAGGGCAATGTGCTATCATTGTAGTGCATGGATTCGAAGCTCTTAACATTCTGTATCACTTTGGATCACCTTCTGCCCTCAACCAAGTGTCTTAACACAATTTGTCACATTTACCAGGAAACTGTCGACAAAACACAGATGATGAATGGATCAATAGAAAATGAGAGAAATATAAATGCCACATTACAAGACAAATTGTGTGATGGTGTGTCTGCATTTCTGTGGTCCTGATATGAATCAACTGCTGATTGAATGCTGGTTGAAGAATCCTACTTTTCCATATATGTTTCAGAAAATAATCCGCTCCGATAAGCCATAGCCTTATAAACATGTGCCGTAATGAAGGTTATTTGGAATTGTTGCACGCAATGCAAATTCTGTGATGATGTAATTTTTTCCGTGCTTGTGATTGTAGAAAGACAGATTCTGTGTCTATCAAGAATATTGCAGCAATCATGAAAAAGCTCTGAGGCTTCTAATGGAATTGAACAAAATACCTGATGTTCGAGCAAAGCTCCTGGTAAGCGAGAATATGTGTGGAAAATACACTTGTATGATTGAAACTGTCCTGCCTAACACGAGTATCCTCACTTCATTGGACCAAAGCATTGGATTATCAAGCGTTCACTAAACCTAACAGGTCAACTCATGTTTCTATAATCTATCAGCTATTTGAGGAGTAAACTGATGCAGGCTCCTCACTGGATGTACCTGATAGCTATATATCCAGTGGATGTAGTTTTCATTTTCAGTCCATGCAAAGCTGGTTGCATCTTGAGATTATTTAACTAGAAGTGAAATGCTATTCTAACCAAATATCGATCTCTGGTGAGGCCACATTTGGAATATTGTATTTATCTAAAGGGCATCTAAAGGAAATTGATAAGTTGGATGAGTTTTTTTAAAACTTCTCATCTACCTAACAAAAATAGGTTCTCTGACGGTCCAGTGCCTTGGGATATCCTCCTGACATGAAAGGCGCTACACAAATGTAATTTGTTGCTGTCTCTTTTGTTTAGAACTGCATGGTACTCGGAGGAATGAAAACCAAAGATATTCCCTTGGAAGGCTATTTGCTAACCCCAATCCAGAGAATCTGCAAATATCCTCTGCTTCTTAAGGTAATTATAATTGTGTGGGGCTGGTATCGTGTTGGAGCAATTACTTTGAACTTCTCCGGGATGATCTGGCGGACTTTATCTTCATGTCTCTCGTTGTTGTGACTATGAAAAGACTTTAATTTATAACTGCAGTGTGACTTGTGCTTCGTATTTTACTCTCACGTTATGTAAGGTCTCGTCTTGCATCAAAAGTATTTTAATCATCATTGAATTGTAGATTGCAAACAACTCATTTATTTCAAGACCTTGTGTGAAATTATAAAGCTGTCTACTGGCTGGTCAGAAATACTGCCATCAAGGTTATGGATGTATGAAGTGAAAACTTTGAGAATACAGTAGATTAAAACTCAAATCTCCAATTCCTTACTAGTGACACCAATAGAGGGTCTGTGAAAAAAAACTAACTAATGCTTCAATATTTCTTGATCATTTTTCCCTTTTTGGGTAGAGTATTGTACTGAATGCTATATCCCACATTGAAGTTATTTTCACCTTGCAGTCTCTGGGACAATGTAAATTTTATCTGAGTGCTCATATATCAAGCATTGGATCTATTTGCCAGTTATATTAGAAAAATACATCATCCGTGCAGCAATCAATCAATCGCAGATAGTCTAGGCATCCTGGCTTCTCTCTCTCTCTCTCTCTCTCTCACAGCAGAGCGATCTTTGAGCTGGAAGACAGACAGATGACTCTGTTCATAATATCTTGCCTCTCGTATCTATTATTGATGAATCTTTAAATCGGAATGGGAATGGGAACCATTGTTTTTTAACTTGCGGGCACACAACTTCTGTTTCCTTTATTTTCTTCCCCACCAAAAAGGACGTTCGTGTAATATCTTTTGAGCCAGTTAAACTGACCTGGTTTAATTTTCTACACTGCCTTCTACACTGTAAGGTTGTCTGGCTACGCTATATATTGAGCCAGTGAGTGCCTGCTTCCCTCCTCTCTCCCCCCGAATAACAGTCCAACTCCAGGTACAATAACTGCACTAGCTGATCTGGAGTTCAAAATGTAACCCTATGTCTTGGCATGTTTTCTACAGCGCCAAATCTTGAGCATTCACATCTTGAGATTTGTTTGTGAACTGGGATAGCTTTTAAATGATATGTTCAAGATATCATCGTGACCCAAAGGACACCCAATCCCCTCAAATGTGTAGGAACCGATGTGCACAATTGTAAATCATTGCTCACCAATTCTCCAGCCCGGAAAGATTTGTACGTCTGGGCATTAATGAGCCATTCACCACAGATCAACTAATTAGATGTCTTTCTTGGAAGTGGGTTCAGAACACGTGCACAAGCTGCTCGCTGAAGCAGCAACAAGCAAATAAACCGCTGTAACCTGAGGTTCCACTCTGTGGTAGGCTGGCACACTAGACAAAGGAATTTGACTGATGCTTACGATTCCTGTTTATGTTGTTTTAAGAGATTTCCTTATCAGTGTTCTGAGGTTCTCCAAAGAAAGATTGGCAACATTAACTGGAGAGAACATTGCTGGTGCTTTTGAAATCGTTGTTTGTTTTGGTTGGGATTTATACTTTGTCACTGTTAATTCCACTTAAACGATTTGGGTTTCTCATTCGAGGTGTTTTGTTCACACTGACTGATGTTGAGAATAGTGCCCTCCTCACCTTTAAATGAGTCTAGACAAGCCAAAGAACTGGTTAATCACTTGATCCTTTTAATTATTTTCTATCTTGGGTTTTACTTTTCTACTTTTCATTTTGGACCTTTTTTATAAATTTTGTTCTTAGATGTCTTGACATATGGCAAGGACAAGAGTCATTTTTGGTTGAAATCAAAGTTATCCAATTGAGCAACCTGATCGGGATCTCACCTGTGAAAGCTGAGAAGTTTTCCTGTGGATTTAGAAAAGAAGTTTACATTTTGTCTTTGTAGAAAAGCAACTTGGTACAATGGAATTTCATGCCCACAAACATATATGTTTTATGGGTGATTAATGCAGAAACTTCAATGCCGTTCAATGTTGAGCAAGTTAACTTCTAATGATTGAGAACAAACACCCTTTCCTCTTCCCTTGAAGACATATCTGCGACACTTAAAACCTGGACTTTATTATAGTTCATTCCTTCTGTGCAGATGAGAGGAATTTGATTGAAAGTATTTCTGGAATTGGGGACTGTTGACAAACCATGGCCATTCATTATCTATCAAAAATGTACTTGCAGTTTTACTTCTGGCCTTGTATATTTGTCTGGGGATTTGGTTGAATTCTCAGGAGCTGTTATTTTTCATGAATTGGTGATTTAGAGCTGGTTAGTGCAACAAGCACATGTTGCTTCAATTTGTTCATGACGGACTTGGCTTCTGGATTGACACTTACTGTACAAGTTGTGCCTTGGATGACAAGCGGTGGGGTAAACCGTACTTCACTTTTGTGAACTGATTCTACTGGCCTTGTGCTCCTGTGAATTATAATTTTGCCCACAAAAATACAGTCAATGCACTTTATAGTATTCCATAACGTGCTTTGAGGCGTTTCGAAAATGTAATAAAGCTCTATATCAAATGCAAGGATTATTATTATAATTGACCCATTCTACAATATCAGGAACAAAATTGTAGTAAAGAGCTTTGTAAATGGGTTAAGACGGATGTTTAAGATGAGCATTTATGTTTCCAGGCTTTGGATGTCTGAAGATTTGAGCCTAATCCTGAAAATCAAAGCTCATGTACAAATGCCGCTCACCATATGCAGGTGTTTTTTGTCCACAAATATACAGTTAAATCACTTTGTAATATATTCTGTGAAGCACTTTGAGATGTCTAGAAGATGTGATAAGGCGCTATATCAAATGCAATTACTATTTTGGTCTTTGACCCCGTTGGGCAAGTTTCCAATCTCGTTAAAGCCGTCGGAAAGTTGCTTCCACAATAAAAAGTGCAATTGGAGGACAGTTCCTATTGCCTGAGGCTGAACATTATCCCTCTTTGAGAGCAGCTTAGGCTGAATGTTGTGTTACACGGTGCAACAAGTGGAAGGAAGTTGGAATCAAATGGTTAACTACATACTGATGTGATGTCCTGCACTAAATCAGCTTTATCAACCTTTTATCTTTGTAATTTAAAAAAAACTCCTTTGAAAATCTTTTTTACCTGCCTAAAGGCAATGATAAATTGCTTGCTTTGGTGAGATTATTAGCATGATGATATCACACTGCTTTCTATTACCTGACATTAGCAATGGCTGATTTGTGATATTTGCAAACCACTGTTTTCCCTCCTCAATTAGAGCTCAAATGGTGAATAATGCCAAGGAAACTGCTCTCTTCATAGAGACAAAAGACTTTTAAGTATAATTGATGCTGAAACTTCTATCCCTCCCTTCCCTTTTATTTAAACCACTACTACCATCATTACCTTCATCTGTCAGAAACATTTCTGTATTTGCAAATACTTCTGTTCAGCCTTGTAGAAAACAAAACCTTTTCTCAATCCTTCCATTTAATGGAATGTTGGATGACTAAATTAGCACCTGAGCGGATAGTCCTGTTAAATTCCTGTTAATAGAGGTGCATTGCTCCATCACCCAGAGGAAAGGACATTCAAATGGTCTCGTAAGTACATCCACTATGATTCCTTTGGAAAAGTGTGCACTGTTTTATCCGTGTGAGTTCATGCCCAATGCTACCATTCAGTACTGTAGCAAACCTGGTGTAGTCTCACTTTCATGCGCTGAATCAGAAGGGAGCCTGGGGTGGGATAACGGGGGTCAGACTGGCTTTGCATTCTTTTGATGTGATGCGGTCTGGAGTGGGATCAGGTACTAGACAAATGAGCCTTGCATAATGGCTACTTAAAAGGAATCGTGAGTGTTGTTTCTGCTTTTGTTCCGTAAACCTTACGTTTTGTTGGAGCAGCACAAATAAGTGCACATGTTGGTGGTTTGCGGGAATTTTAGCTGAATGCCACAATCCCACAATCACGCATTGAGAAAGAGAAGCAAAATGTGCTCAGAGGGTATCTGAAATATTCCAAATAACACAGTGGGAATTGTTGATCCTAAATGGTTTGTGGAGTGATTCGTCTGATAGATCTTATTCTTATTCCTGTTTCTTAATGACGGGATCCTGTCAAAAAGTTTGACTCGAGTGCCCCTCCAGTGAGGTGGTGCATTCATGATTTTGGTCTGGGGGACTGGGTGGGAGAGAAGGGGGCGAATAATATCGATGCAGTCAAAAATTTAGAGAGGTTATCAAAGTCAAATGGAGTTCAACCGACATGAAAAGAGAAGGGACTTCCATTTGATTGTCCCAGGACTGTGATCTGAAGCACCCGTTTGATAGTCACAGATACAGTACTTCACATAGCATTGTGAAATAGACCCACTTCACATTCACTCTTGCGCGACACTTGAACTCCTTTGAACACTTTATGCTCAAATGGAGACCTGGCGAGTCTGAATCAGCTGATTAACCTGCCATGAAGTAGCATTTGATACCACCAACGGATTTCCCAAAACAAGGCGGTGAGTGGGTGGGTTTGGTCCAGGCATCTGTTAGGCCACTTAACTGATCACTTAATTGATCCTACTGACCACAGATCCATGAAAACATCAAAGAACAAGCATTGTCGAAGGTCTATGAGGACTGTAATCTCTGGGGACTCGAGAGTACTAACCTTCACAGAACAGCACACTTGCCTACAGACTCTTCATAGCTTGCAGCTGACGGTATTGATTCCAGAAGGCTAGCCTGCGTTGGGACTCTGAAAAAGGTTTATTAACCCACTTTACAACTCACCTTTCACGAGAAAAACTACTGTCAGAACATCTGGTTCTTACATTTTCAATGCTTCCTCATTCTTCTGCTTGCGCCCAACACAAGTCAAACACAAGGTGACTGTGTTAGAATGCACCCCAATAATAATAGGTTCACAGTGGACTGTGGAAGTGCAATACTCAGTTTTCTGCACATCCCTCAACCCCTCTGCTCCACAGTTGGTGGCCATGCTTTTAGCCATAGTGCCCCGAATCTCTGGAACTCCTTGCTTCAATCCCTCTGTCTTGCCCCCTTCTTTGCCCTTCTTCAAACCACACCTGAAGACTTTCTTCTTTGACTGTGCCTTTGGTCACCTCCTCTCCCTTTCCAGTGTTAAACCACGCTGCTATAAAGCGCTCCAAGACGTGTCCCGTGTTAAGGGACAGTATAAATGCTATTTTGTTATGCATTTGTTATGTTGTTGTTATTGAGTGGAACTTGATGTGCCTCTGCTCTTCATGCCTCTGGATGATTCTCAAACGTCACCTGAAAGTATATTTGTTTGTTGGCAAAGGTGGATCTAATATGAGCGTAGAGGGTTTGAGAAGATCTTTATAACTGTAATTCCCTCTTCACAACTTGGTTTCATGCTTTGCTGAATGGCATTCTATGTGACGCACATAGCTCTGACTCTTTGAGTCGGGCAAAAGGTTTACTTTTAAGATGTTTCAACTGCTGTGTGGTTTCCGAAAGATTTTCATGAATGTTCCACTGTGGGGAAAGAAATACTAAATATTCATTTGTACACATGTTCTCCAAAACATTGCCTTGAGGGACTTCTCTTTCCTTCACTGGACAAGTGCCAAAAATGTAGGGAAATGCAAAAATATGAGGTTTTGTTCCAACTAAACTATTGGGGAATTCTCATAACTTTTAATTTAGTTTGTGTTTTATCACTTGATCTTGTTTTTAACATTTGGTTTTAACAAAATAAACATTTTGTAATGCATTACTCCATAAAATGCATGGTATGAGAGTGATTATGTAGTACAACCATTTGATGAATGGACGTGATGGTTTTAATGCGATTATCAAAGCTGATTAATTTCCTTTCCCAGGAATTGCTAAAGAGGACCTCTAAAAAGCACAGTGATAATGGAGCCGTAGAGAGTGCCTTGCAAGCAATGAAGGCAGTCTGCACCAATATTAATGAAACAAAGCGACAGATGGAAAAGCTAGAGGCCTTGGAACATCTGCAGTCACACATTGAAGGATGGGAGGTATGAGGACTAAAACCTTTCGAGGAGATGAAATGCACATTTCTTTCATTGATAATTTGATTTGAAAGAATAAATGGTACTGCTCATTTGAAAGTTCTTTGGTGTAGCAGATGAAACTTGGTTCCTGAGCTGTAACTGCCATGTACAAAATCAAAGTGGGTTTAGGCAAAAACATTTTATATGAATGGTGGGTTTCATTGACTATTCCCTGATGAGAATTGATTTTGCACTGACTTTCATTTGAGATTTTAAAATTCTAGGGCAGGGCCTATTGTGCAAAAGTCTCCCTGTATTCTGCTGATGGAAGCCATATATAGCAGAGTATGTAGTTCCATCAAGTCCCACAAATAACCACATTATTTGGTCTTTATGTTGTTCAGTTAAGAAAACAAAACATTAACCATTGTTTGCTGAAATTCTAAGTAACAAGAACGAAAAAGAACTTTGTGAGAACTTTGCAAACCATTTTTATAGCGTCTTGTACATGGACAAATGTTCAAGTATTTTACATTAATTATAGTCAAGGATAGTGACTGTTTTTGGAGGCAAATTATGATTCCTGCGTGGCAGTTCCTGCCATGTGGAAACAGCTACGTGCTGCCATTGAAAAATAAATGAAATTCCTGCCTGTTTTGCTGGTGCTTTGATTCAGCAACAGCTGTACAAATGATGCAATTTTATGGTGCAGGGAAATGCCTTCTCAGTTTTCTTTACTGAGTGCTCGGAAGTAAAATGTCATCATGTTGATTTTTTTTTTGGTCGCTGTTGAAACAGTCCAGACCAATACAGTGCATGTTCAATGATCTGCGTGAGAGCAATTTCCGCAGCCACTACTGATGACGCTGTTTCTATTCTACTGTGGTCATTTATTCTTTTCCCTATAAGTACAGCTTGTCTCAATTTTGTCTTCCCGGAAAAAATACTATTCAACATGGGACACCATTAAAATCTTTCTGAATTTCCTAGACCCTAATAAATTGTAATCTTCCTTTTTTCCCCTGTTTCCCAGTTAAAAGTTGTAGAGTGAGTGGGTCACTGCCTTTGGGCCATCATTTCCAGCTGCGAGTCTTATTCTGAGCAGTGTGAAAGTAGCTGAGAGTTCCTTTGCATTCTACAATTGCAGCTTCCGGCTCACTTCACTTCACATGTTAGTTTGGGGAAAAAAGAAGTGAGAAAGAGAACTTGAGAGAAAGGAAGTCCTTAAACCAAACCAATCTTGGTTTTAATGGCCTTACAAAGATTCTCGTCAGAACGGATTCTTGTAACTTCTGGTTCACGACAGTGTTGTCATTCAACTTGTGCACAACAGTTATAAGATTCCACTCTGACTAAAAGTATTGGGTCCTCTTTTTTGGAGTTGTTTGAATTGTTTTTTTTAAGCATTTAAACCCACAAGGATACTCTGCAGAAAATATTTTTGTTATCTTCATTCGTTTAACATTTCTGATGCTGTGTGTAGTTCTGTTGTAAATGCCGCTTTTTTTTTATTATTCCTCTCTCATTTTCTCCCCCCTCCTCTCCTGAAGGCACTGGTTCTTGCTGAGGTATTATTCTACAGGCATGTATGACCGCAGTCCAAATAGTCATTCTTCATGTGTAAGGAGAATAACTGTCAGGGAGTGATGTTAACTGCTGATGTCATAGCTGATCCTGAATTTGGAGCATGCACCTGCTCACTTTCCAGTAAGAATCATTGCAGCAGGAGCATTGCACCATCGCTGATCATTTTTATTCCCCCTCACCTAGCGCAGGGCACCAAGGCCAATTGTAATGCCTCATTACTGTCCTAATTGATGTCAGAGAGCTCAGCTCACACATGTGTACAATAGCCGGCTGTGTCATTCAGAGAGGGACAGAAGACTTGGATTTTTTTAAAATCCAGAATCTATTTGGCTTGAATTGACATCATTTAGTTTCAGGAGAAGTATGAACGACACCCTTAAAGGTGCTGAAATGGCAAGAGCACGTACAAATGAAAGTGCATCAATGGTTGGTTTGAGTTGCAAACTTTTAAAAAAGTTCAGAAACACCCAACTGGTTACTTCTGTGCAAGGAACCGTGACAAACAAGACTCCCAAGTGCTTTGCAGAAAGGCCTAAAGCGGAATATAATATAAAATAAGCTTGTGATTTTTCAGAGTTGAAAGCAAAAATGCCAATTTTGTGATTCTGCAATTAATCACTCCATTTGTACAGTGATTCATTGGGGGGGCGGGAAACAAGATGTATAACAAATTTTTCAACTTGCCCAATTGCCTTCCTCATTTTCTAAATATAAAACCTGCAAGTTGGCTGAGATGTGTGGTTGAGAAACAGCAATTGTGTGCTTCCTGATCTGCCATTAAGTCATGGTAATAGCCTTTAGTTCATGATAATGGCCAGCCAGGCGTTACCCACTGAACAGGCATGCAGATCCTTCCATTAACCTGTCAGTGAGCTACTTCATTAATTGCCTCCATGCTTTGGTCCAAAAGGTGACTCAGTATAAGTTTGATTGCATCACCGCAAGTCCGCAGAATGTAAAACTCTTTCAATATTATGTGTTTTGGCTAGGGCTCAAATCTGACCGACATATGCACTGAGCTGCTGCAGCAAGGAACATTGCTGAAGATCTCGGCTGGAAATATTCAGGAGAGAATGTTCTTTTTGTTTGATAACCTACTGGTGTACTGCAAGAAGAAATCCAGGTGGGTTATGATTTGCATCTGTACCTTGTTGCATGGCGATCCAGATATCCGTTAGGTTGACATCGCAGCCTCTCAATAAATGAAAATGTGCTTTGACTTGATCCGCTAGAGACTGGTCAGAATCCAGCTCATTCTCACTAAGATTTTCTGAGGTATTAGCAGGTTAAACTCCCAGCAGGACCCCAACGCACACTTTGGGGTACACAAGTCTTGACTCTCGCCAACCTGTGTCAAAGAGTTTCTGGAAATAGATAAGCAGGGTGCATCCCTCCAGAGAGAGAGAGTGCACCTTTCATTTCAGACCCAGGAATTCACATGGTGATGGGTTTCCACAGGTGGCAGACGCCCTTCCCGGTCTGATCAGAAACAAAAATCACTATGTTTTGCAGAAATTCACTTTCTCTGAAGAAATATTTGCTTTCTTGTGATGTAGTGGTATTCTATTCTTTTTGATATAAATCAAGAGCTCCACAGACAAAAATGGGAACAATTTTATTTGGTAGAGAAGGACCATTGCATAGTTTTGATGATGTGCGGAAACCAACTCTGCTAATGGGAGGAACACTCTGTGGGGCTTAATGGGTTCTGACCAATTTTAAACTGTTACTTCTGCTTGAAACATGACTGAGTCCAACTTGAGTAGACTAATATAAATATAAAGCTCCAAATTTTCTGAAATCATTGAAAGCCAAACTTCCAGTACCATAAATATTGTTTCTTCCTTGTTTGGGTTGATCAGTGAATTGGCTATTGGGATGAAACCAACATTCTCCTCTGTGAGTATTGGGAAGCATTACATCAGATATTATGGGAATTTCAAGGAAGAAGCAGTTTCACCACTTCATTGGTAGGAATGAGCTAGGAATGGGAAAGTGTTAAGGCCAGGTCACTTCCTGCCATGCCAGAGTCAACGATTTACTGCACTCGGAAAGTTACAACCAGGCTGTCAGGTCTATTCAAGATGATAAATGGCTGAGCACCCTCAAGGGTTCCTGGAGCTTAAGCCAGATCTCCACTTGTGCCAGACACCAGAATGACTGCAGCTGCACCAAATCACTTAACTTTACATCCAGATGACAAGCAGCAAAGCCTTATGTAATGCTTCTTCTGCTTCTGGATCTATCTCTCTCTCTCTCACTCTCAGTCTCTCAGTCTCATCACCTGGAACTCTTCGTTTTTTTTGGGTGTGCGTGTGCGCCGATGTTTTTAAATGGAGGATTAACCATTTACTGAAAGAGGAGCTGTTAGCAGACATGCTCAGGCTACACAAAAAGGCTCTGGCCTTTCTGCAAGGGACCAAGTTGACCTTGCAAGACGCATGTCATTTTTTTCATTGGGTGCCTCAGACTTGTTATGCTGACGAACGTACACACATGAGACATTCTAAGAAACAGAGTAGTTATTGAATTGGAGCACGCTGGTGATGAAAAGCAATTGGGAGTTTGGGGTTGCATGGGTCTGACCATAATGGACATCATTTTACGTTCCCCTTCCTCCATTCATATGTTAAGCCTTCAGTGGTGTCATTCTGCCATTTGTTTAGTACACATTCTTTGCACGTAGAACAGTGCAGGCTCAATGCTCCAATGCAGTCATAAGATCGATGGGGAAAATATTGCTGCTTTCCCAGTATCCACTGTAAAAGCAAATAGATTGCCAAACATTTCAGCAAGGAATTTGATAACCTATTTGTCTTCAGGCTGAGACAACACTTCAATGCTCCATTAGTGGCACATTATCGTTTTGAGGCTTCTCCAATTTGAGGCGTACTTGCTTAGGTGGGTGGTGGTTGGGGTGTTGGAGAGCATCAGGCCATCTCTGAGCCAATGTGATAGCTAAGTGCATCTCCTCATGTTGTAATTGTTTGATTTAATGAGAGTCATCAATACGATTTGTAACTGGTGATCTCATAGCGAAGAGTGACTAGAGGAAGGAAGCCAGTGGTTTCACAGTGTTTACAGAAGGAGTTTCTAAAAAAAAGAGAAAATGAGCTCTTTCCTAAGTGTTGCAATGCTGACGTGGCTTTTTGATGTTCGATCGCTTCAAAAGCCACCTATAATAATCGTTGCATTTGATATAGTGCTTTATCATGTCTTCGAGATGCCTCAAATCGCTTCACAGAATGTACTGTAAAATGAATTGACTGTATACTTTTTGTGGGTGAAACATGAGGGATGGGAGAAGAAGGGAGGAATTAGTCGATTCCATTTACTGATTTCTGCTGTCGTGACTTTCATATAATACAAAGTTTGCTTTTAAATAGGGTTTATTTTGCAAGAAGGCCCCACATAGGGAATCAGTGCCAAATTAATCTTGGAGTTTTGGGGAGGCCTGTTTTGTGTTGTAAAATATTCATGACCTCAAAGGTTGATCATGTTTTGTGGAACTTCAGCATCTTTGGTTTTTTTGTTTCACTGTTGGAAATGGATATGCAGTAACATCATGGCTTATAAATGCAAATGTTCAGATTCAGTGTGGTCATCAGGAGCCATCTCTAACTCATTCCCATTGGAATTCATTCTTGTCTTCTACTTTTAGCAAAACATTTGAACATTTTAGTACCCTGTTATTGTCCTGGGTGGAGTCATTGGTTAGACCTTTGAATTTTCCGTCTGTTGTCCGAAACTTGACCAAACTTAAACCTTAACGAGAATAATGATAGGTTGTGTGCGTTGGTGTTTGTGTGGTCACAGTCTCATATCTGCCATTCTGCCCTGGATACAATTATTGTTTCCCAGCAGTCAGAATATCTTACTGCACCTGTTGATCAACCTCTCTACCTGCTGACAATTCAAAGGATCATAAATTACTCTTGAAACCTATTACACAAGATTATAGATGTCAATTTAGTGCTCTTTATATTACAGGGTATTGTGAGTGAAGTGTTTCTGTAATTTCCTGAGCCCAACTGTCCTGTGAAATCTACTCTGTTTACATTGCAAAACAGATTCCATAGTGACTAGAGCAAGATACAAACAACTGGGCAACCACAGTTTGTATGGAAGTTGGATTTTTTTACTTTGTTTTCGACTGTGAATCAGCCTCTGGATTTTCCATGATTATATTGTTGGTTTGTGCAACATTAGAGAAGTGAATTTCATCACAGAGTAGGGTAATCCCAATGAATAGTTGAGAAACATAGAAACATATTATTGACAGGCTTGGCCGAAATAATCTTTAACAGCTCCTATAAAAGCTCCAAATACTCAATATTTAGTTGAACTACTTTTAAGGGTCATATTTTTCATGAATCTTTGGACTTTAAAGAACAGGATTATGCGCTGTGGGAAAATATTGAGACTGTGCGCATAAAGCCAGAATTCCATCTTAGACATGGTTACTTTTCTGTCTATTCAGAGTTGCTGGAAAGAAATCAACGAAACGCACAAAATCTGTGAATGGTGGACAGTATATTTTCCGTGGCCGAATTAGTACCGAGGTCATGGAAGTGGAAAATGTTGAAGACGGAACAGGTAATATATTTTTTAATCGTAACTTATTTTATATGCGGATAGAAATTTGTCTTACGTTTTCTGAAGTGTACTGGTCAGTGGCTGTGATCATTATTCATTCTTATATCATTTGCTCTTCACTTCTGGCTTAAATCTTACTCTGTATAGATTTATTGGTGTTTCCCAAAAGTGCAATTACGTCATTCCAACTCATTTGCATTACCGGATAATTAGATTTTTAAAAAAAAGGACATTTTTTCGCTCTTTTCCCTCTCATTACCCAATTTGTACTGGCATTCGCTGGGAAGTTGCTCAATAGGCAACGTTAAACAAGACTTCCTCAAAAATTTCACTTGTAATTATTTACAAGTCAGCTCAGACACTAAGTCATTAAGTATCAGTGAAATATTTGAGTATCAGCAACCACATTCCAGCTCACTTTTTTGTCATCATCCACGCTTCAATTAGAATGCGAAACCTATTTTTTCTTAACCTCGCCTTTCCCCAGTTGGTGATATCTGAATTGTCGCAATCTCTGTTGAGGTTGGCTAACTGAACACTCAGCAGGAATAAGAACTCGATTTTTTTTGCATTCATATACTTAAAGTCCCTGAGCCATTTAAGAATCCTTGCACTTAATACAGCAACGTTTGAGAGGGCGCCTCAAAGCTCTTTTACAAGATTTATTGTGAAGTGTAGTGACTGTATTTTGTATATAGCCAATTTTAGTGAAAACTGTGTCTCTTTATTTTTATTTTTAATTATTATTATTATGGAATGTCAGTTTGTTTCTAGAAGGGTCCAGTTTGTATGTGGCAATTATGAAGCGCAGATCAATAAAATGAAAGTGCTTGATGTAGACGCTGTGCCCCAAATAGGAGAAAGTGTTTCATTTTCCAATTTCTTAACACTATTGCATCTCACAGAGAAGCCGTTTTTATTGAAAAGGATTAGAGCTGTTAGGACAACTCCTTCTTGCTCCAGTTTTCCTAACTTGCGTTATTATTCTGAGGAAACTTTTCATCTTTGATTTACAAGCGGAACTGTGTTGAGTTAAGATTCACACACGAAGTTGGGCTCGATTGGACAGCCTCAAATGGCCCGTCAACTGCTTTCCGAGACTGAATGACCTTCTGCTGCGTTGTAAATTTTAAAAAAAAACACACACCCCTGGACACTGATCAAAATACAGTGGTTTGATAGTATTTTGATTTCAAATATTGTGAAAATAAAATGCTGGTAAAGCCAAATGGTACCACATTTACTATTCTAACTTGCAATGACTTTGCCGAGGCAGAATTTCCTGGTACATTAGCCACTCACTGAATTCTCAGAACTCGCCATGCAAGACAATCAACAAGATGTTGTGGTTTGTGAGTTCGTGCTAATAACAAACTTAATTTGATATTTAAGCAGCATTTCCAATTAGCATGTACTATGAAAGAATTAACCTTATGCACGTTGTAGGTAGCAAGAAATAATAAAATATTTAAATTTTGCAAGGTCTTATTAATAATTCAGTAATTGACAAAGAGTTTATGACAGTTAATGTTGAGAGCCAAAGATTTAATGTGTTAAATGATGAAGAGCTTCTATTCTTAATATCCTTGATTTCTACAACATAAGAGAAAGGGTTTGACTTACGTAATATTGGTTTTGAGATTGAGATTCTTGTCATACTAAGATTAAAATGGAGCTTTGCAATCAATAGTGCTACTACTTATCTGTTTATCAGTTGAGGCCAAGAGCGGTTGAACCTAAAATTGAAGACGAAAATCTTTATGGCCAATACACAGAGGTGAAAGCATTGCAACTCACGTTGGTTTCCCGCCAACTACTGCTTTGCCCGTATCAAGTAAATTATCATTTTATTACTTGACCTGATTACTGAAACATTCACCTTTAAATGCCATATCAGGTCTGTGTAATGATGTAGCTTTGCATGCACAAAATGTAGCCCTGTGATAGAATCAGTTGAACCAGGATGCAATGTGGTTGCAGCAAAGAATTGCTTTTTTTTTCAAAAATGGCTGATTTTCTGACATTACAGCGAGCTACTACATTATTATTCTGCTTGAGGGAAAGTAAGCAGGGTCTCTTTAGGAGCTGAGCTGGCTCCAAGGTGAACATGTTTGGCGATGGGAACGGCAGAATCGGACACACCAGCCAGACTCAGCGACACAACTTGGGAGAGGCAGACTGAGAGCAGAGATTCCAAAGCCACGATGGTAGATTGGTCCTAGCTGGACAAGCTTGTCAGACCGCACTTGCAATGACAAACTATGCGGTTTAGCTGGTTAAACTACACCAGTATCTCAATGATAGTCTTCGCTCTTGCCAACCTGCGTTTATTATTCTATAGAATTAGGTAAGCAAGGTGTGTCCCTCCAAGGAGAATATGCATCCCACTGCAGACACAAACATTTCCATGGTGTAAGTTGCATACATAAGTGGGACTCTATACTCTACCTTTAAGCATGTTGATGGGTTTTCATGTGTACCAAGCACCCGGCTGGCTAACCAAATAAAATTCATAATGACCTATTTCCCCACATGATTTCATGACCAAATATTATATTAGAAACCACTTCTTTACCAGGTCCACATCTCGAGCAACTTTGTTTTTGTTACAGCGATTTTTTTTTATCACTGGGCGCCTTCAACACCGCAACCGAGCGAAATCTGCTTGCAGCTCAAGAAGTTTCGATTTCACGTGTTTTGTAAAACTTTACACTTCGTGTTCTTGTGTTCCAATGTTTCCCTAACTCTCACCGTGCACTGTTTGCAGCGGACTACCATAGCAACGGCTACACTGTGACAAACGGCTGGAAGATTCACAACACGGCCAAAAACAAATGGTTTGTCTGCATGGCCAAAACTGTGGAAGAGAAACAGAAATGGCTGGATGCGATCCTGAAGGAAAGGGAGCAGAGGGAGAGTGAGTAATCAATTAACGCCCAATTATATCTGCTCAAAATGGAAGCACTGTAATCCGTATTATTCAGCATGTTATCCACGTTGAATTGGCAAGTAGATATCTTTTCTTGTCTGTAGGAGTTCTAATTACTTTCTTAAGAGGGAGAGAGGGGATTGATTTAAAATGTGAATTCGAGAAGAATTGATTATTTTAAAACCAGATTTGCTGAACGTCGTTCTAGTCCTGATGTTTGGTCCATATCATCATTGCAACAGATTTGGGCAACAGCTGCTCCATATTTGAACAGCACTGTCAACACCTACATAACCTTATTTAACCATCTGTTTTCCATTCACATTTTCAAAAGGCACCATATGTTTTTATATTGGGGTTGCTCCAATGCCTTTAAAATATCTCTAAAGGGGGAGGGGGGGTTGAAAACTGCCAGGTGCAACAAGTCTGTAAATGCTGCAGTATGAATAGGAACAAGCAGAGGTGTGCATTTATGATATGTAATTGGAATGTGGGTATTTTATCATTTAAAATGTGCAGTGTCTGAGTAAACGTGATTATCTTATTTATGGAAGCTAAAGTAGGTTTGAGGTGCGATACTTAAAATATTATTAATCAAGTGCTTCAAATAATGTGTCCCATGTAAACTGTTTGACCGGGAGCCTGTCGGTATGGAAATCCGATTGCAAGCAGGCTGAGTACTGTTATCCTCATGGAGAGTGTAATGGATCGCGCAATGGATTTGCGCAAACTACCGCTGTATTCAGTGCCCCAAACACAAGGTTCTGTCAGCGACTGAACCTGATCCATTTCTAACATACGGCTGTGTTCGTTCTGTTCTAATTGCTGACCAAAGAAATGCACTTTTAAAACAGTTGCTCATCCTCAGCGCACTCTATTTTGCAAATGAGGACATCAATTTTTTAGCATTTTTTTTTAGTCCGTAACTGTGTAAAACCGCTTTTCTGGCCAGAATGTGGCATCTAGTGGCGGTCGTTTGATTGATGCTCTCCCTTGTCCTTTTCTAGGTCTAAAGCTGGGCATGGAGCGCGATGCATATGTTATGATCTCTGAGAAGGGAGAGAAGCTGTATCACATGATGATGAGTCGGAAGGGAAACCTGATAAAGGACAGGAGGAGAAAGCTGTCTATTGTCCAAAAGTGTTTTCTTGGCAAGTAAGGCAGCATCAATTTTAATGTTCTATTCATACAAGTTGAAAGACTGTGCAGTTGGGTTTCCTGTGGACTTGGCTCTGCTTTGCCAAATCCGATATAATTTGATGGGACCTAATTGCAAAAACATTACCATCCAGCACTTGTTAGGTTACGGCAATTAATCTTTTTTTTGTTTTAACTGGATGCTAAAGTGCAGATTTTATAGAGTAATAAAGCCACATACTGTATTTTTCAGGGCGCTGTAACTTGGAAAATACACTGCCCACAATTCTAAAAAGTGTTTTTGAAGCGAAATCCTCTTCTATTGTTAATACATAAATAATTGAAACATTGGGCTTGTTAATGATACATTAACAGCCACGGGGTCAGTTTTGTGGTATTCATTTGCGGAATTGCTTATTTTAGTTAGTCACAGAGGAAATACGTTACGCCTGTTCGAGGGAGTCTTACTCAGAAAATAAATCGAGTTGGAGCATTCTTGCATCGTGAACTTCCAAATTTCTTAATTAAGACGTAAAGTATTGCAAGATTGATCCACATATTACATCATCAGTTACAAATAATATTCTGCAAGGGGAAAATAAAATGCAATCAGCTGTAGATTGTATCTTTTCTATTGAATGTGAAGCAGCTTGTTTACATTTGAGTCTTTTGTGATGAAATGAGTTCAGTCGAGTGTATCTCAATCGCGCATTCCAAGCCTTGACAGATTCTTGACATGCAAGCACTTAAATGAGTATGAATTATCATAGGCTCTTGCCGAGTTTCAGGGTTACTTGTGCAATTTTTGGAGGGGAGAAAGTAAAATAGATGCTTTCAGATGGATTCTGCACTGCTTCGCTGCTGCTGCCTGTCAAGTGTTGTTTCACGTGTGAAATAGCCATGAATTATTTTAAATTTTTATGCTTGTACAATTCTCGGAGCAGTTTTAAGATAAGTACCATTAATTCTCATGCGGTTATATAAGGAAAGTTTTGTTTTAGCGAATGCCTTTCTGGGTGGTGCAAAAGTGAAGGCATCAAACATCAAAGGGTAGATTGGCAGCATCTTCTTAACTGGTTCAGTTGCATTAAAATAGTTCTTCCTGTTATTCAAAATTCAGTACTTAAAGTGCTGGATATATAATCCAGACCCATCTCCACGTTAGCACCAACTGTGCTGGGCTTTTCCTAGCAATAAACTATGTGAGCTCTGCCTTTCTATTCAAACTGTTCCACCAACATTTAAACAGTTATGCACAACCATTCGAGACCTGCTTATTTTATTTACTACATTTTCAGTGCATTTCCACTTGTAGAGACATCACCGGTGTATAGGGAAACATTGCAAGCCTGAAGTTCACATTTCTTTTTGGCTGTTGTGGATTGTTTCTTGCAGATAAGAACCTGTTACCCCAGAGGTTTAAATGACATTGAGTTCATGTTGCAGAAATTCTTTTTGTTCCAGGCAGCTTCATGAGCGTTGAAATTCCATCACATTGATTCTTGGATGCAAATATTTGATCTGACTGAATATTACTGAATTATTTAACTAAAAGCTGATGTAAATTCAAAGATTTTTTTAAAAAAAACATTAATTCGGATAATGTCAAAATTGCATAACGTACGTTATTTGAAAGGGAAAGGGGTGGAAGTGCCAGTGTGTAGAAGGGTGATTGAATAAATGAAGAGCGAATGAATTAATTTTGTCTCTTTTTGGGTTTTGAATCAACAAATTCTTCCTGGAAGCTGCCCTGGCTAAGGACCAAATTCTTCAAAAAGAAGCCTTGACTGTTTAGGGATTAAATGCCTGTCAGAGCTTATAAATTGTGCCAAGCAAAATCTTGGGCTTTGTGCACTAGAATGGCAGTATAAAAGTGACTGTAACCCTTTCTATGCTTGAGTAGTCCGCTTTTTAAAACAAAATTGAATGGTGCGGTATTTTTGTCGAGTGTCCTTGCTTGAGTATTTTTAGGTCATTTGATACATTACCAATATATCTATTAAAGCAAAACAAGACTTGTTTCACCCCAGTTCTTTACACGTTACCCAGCAAAGATTTTACTAACAAATCATAATCAAATCATCAATCAGACTGAAATGCATGCAGTTTGCAAGCAAAGTAATGAAACTTGAAATGTCTTCTGCCTTTTCTTAGATTTTTTTTCTTAGCATTGTTGGATATTAATTACTGTGTGGCGGCCAGGATATCTCTGAAACTGACCATGAGGTCCATTGGTCTCATCTTTTGATTCTTTGTTTCTAGTGAGTTTGTTTCCTGGCTGATGGAGATAGGGGAGATCAGTAAACCAGAGGAAGGAGTGAACCTGGGTCAGGCATTGCTTGAGAATGGCATCATTCATCACGGTGAGTAAATCCACACAGAGCTGCAGGAAATGGCATTGCAAAAGGGCACCCGTGCCCTTCATCTAGGTCAGAGGCGGTTGTCAATGGCATGCATTGAAATGATTAGTCACAAAACTAGATCATTATAAATGTATTGGCAACGTCAGCTTCCGACTGCACTGCACCAGGCACAGTTTAACCTGAACCTTTTGATTTAATCTTCTGAGCGAACCTGTTTAACTCAGGTCCTTAAATTCTCTTTGCAGTTGTTACAAACCGTATGAATTATGATAATTTCAACACTCGGGTCTGAGTCAATCTCAGCACAATGAACTGAGTGCATATCTGAAAAGTCTGGTCAAAACAGGATAACAACAACCATTAGAATTATTTCTCCCCCTCCCCTCCTCTTCCCCTCCCCCCACCACAAACACTCTCACTCACACATACGCATTAACAGCAAATGCGGCTTTGGAAAGTGTCTCACAGAATCGCTGTTTTGCCACATTGGCAGCAAAACTTTATTCGACAAATGATCCCAAGTTCTTTGTGCCAGTCACTGTGCGAACAGTTAAAATATTGTACTGGACGATATTGAACATTTTTCTCTATTGAATTTTAAAAGCTCAACGTGAAATTATAATCACTTATATCGACTCCTGCAAATGCATTAAAACCGTAAACTGTGCGACACTTTTTTAAAAATTAGAAAATGTAAGCTTTTTTCCGTTTTATTAAACCTGTTGAACCAAAGGGGAAGGGAGAACAGCATCCATTGAAACAATAGAAATTCTTGGCATTTCTGAAAGATAAATAGTTTTCGCTAATTGTAAATTTGGTTTGAGAAACTAATTGTGTGGTTTTCCTGACAAGTCGGAGGCTGTGATCTGCTATTGAGAGCTATCTTTGTAAACATCTTGACGAGCTGGCTAGCACTTAAGTTTGGGTTCTTCAAAACTTCCTGTTACTAAAAGTAAATGGTGAGGTTCATTATTTATAATTTCTGAACATCTTGTTTCATCTTATTCTTAAACATTATTTCATTTACATGTTGACGGTAATTTTCAGCCTCTGTCAGTTTGGGAGAGTCTACTAATAATAATCCTTGCATTTGATATCCTGTCATCGAGATGTCTCAAAGAGCTCAAAGTGAATTGACTGTATATTTTTGTGGGTGAAACATGGCAACCATTTGTGCACAGCAGTGGCCCACAAACAGTTGTGGATTGGGTGACCAAATTATTATTTTTTAAAACATTTTTTTGAAAGGATTATTACTCCCAGATTATTACTCCAACAATCGACTAACATCCTACTTACTGCTAGGTAAACAGAGGCGTGTGGAGTAAGGAAATTTCCTGAACCAGACAAGGTGTTTATGGGAATATCAAGATGTAATTCTAACGTAGAAAAATACTGCCAACACTTTTGTTAAGTCATCTGGGACTAAGTGTTTGGCACTAAACGATAGCAAGTTCCTGCAGCTGAGCAATGTTTGCCAGTCAAGCCCACCCTGGTTGAAGTCAGTTTAATTTTTCATGTTGTTTCTTAGAACGGCAGCAAATGCCAAGAGACTCGATGAGAAAACTGAAAGTTAGCTCCACGTCATAAGTATCCCAGCAAAAAAATCTATTGCCCTTCACTCAGCTCGATGTAAAACAGGAAATTCTGATGTCCTTTTTATGCCCTGTGGTAAATGCGTACATGACTGATTTGATCAATGAGTGTTTGGACCACATTCTTTGTGTTGTTGGCGTGGATGAGCCAAGAGTAGTGCTTTGGGAAGATGCCTTGTGACTATGATGGGCCAAGAATGTATCTGAGGGAAAAATTAGGCGCTGCAGAAAAGGAGAGAAGAACAGAATCGGGAGGCAAGGAGAAAGGTAACTGGGAGGAATTGGTTATTATTGATCAAACAAAATACGGAGCTACCATCCTGTAATCTCTCCTCGGCAATGTGAGATGTAAGTTGAATGCCACTTTTCAGTTCTGCCTAACCCAAAATACCACTGAATGTACAGCACAGCATTGTTGAAGGATTGTTGCCCTAAATCGTTTACATCTCATAGGGTAACCCTTTCATATTTGTATTGAAATTACACTGTTCCAATCCCTCCACTTCTTGCTCACATTTTTATGTTCTAAAGCGTATTTCTTACAGTTGTACAACAAGCCTGCTTTAGTACGAGCGCTGTATCTTTCTGCTGAGTAGCAAGGTTTTGTCTTATCAAAAAACTCTGTCATAGGGTCTTGAGAAATGTGTATGAATTAGTATTTTGCCTGACAAGAACTGCAGAATGTGGTGTGTAATTATGACCCTGTTGACTTTGGGGAGGTGGGGGAGGAACGTAGAAACTAGTGCCATTTGTTTCTGTTCGAAATGTGTTCAGTCAGCTGTTGAAATTGCACTGCCAATGGAAATTCATTGAAATCTGAATCCCATGTGGGGGAATCGCAAGCAAATAATAATAAGTGTACCTAAGTTTTATTTTTCTCTCTTTACGATCATGTTTATTTCAGTTTCCGACAAGCATCACTTCCGAAACGAAGCGGTCTTGTACCGATTTCGATACGATGATGGAACCTACAAACCCAGAAGCGAGATGGAAGATATTATGTCTAAGGTAACCTTCTGGATTTCTTAACATTGTTCTCATTTGTGTGTGTGTGTGTGTGTGTGTGTGTGGAGAGGATTTTTGTGGGATTCAGCCTCTTTGTTGTGTTGAGTGGAGATTAAAACTCTTACGTATTCCTGAATTAAAATGTACCAGATGGTGGGTGGCCGAACATGGAAATAATGTCATTTTGATTCTACTTTTTTTTCTTTGATAGGGGGTGAGGCTGTACTGTCGTTTGCATTGCCTTTTCACTCCTGTGATCAAGTAAGTTTTTTGTTTGGATTTCAGCTTGGTGAAGGATAAATATTCTTATCGCAAGTCTGTGACTTTGTGTTAAGATGTACAAAGCATTTTTTGAGGATTTGCTTTAGAAAGGAACATCAGTGTTTATTCCAATGCAGAATTATTGCCATATCTCATCAACGTTCACTGATAACACCTGCTGCTTAGACATAATCAGCCAATTGTGTTGTATATATTTGTGAGATGGTTTTGTTGCAATATGGCCCATCTAAAGATAACCCAAACATTTTAGAATGGCCTCCCTCTGCACTGTGGATTTCTTTGTTTCTATACTTTAGTGTTCAATCCATTCAGGATTGCATTATTTTCAGCAAATGTTACAGTGTCAAAAACAAAAATCTGCATAATGGAAAACTGTCTGTCTGCAATGCTTGCTGTCAATCCTAAATTGACCTTTCAATTAATTAGATGCTGGCAGAGATAAGGCAATTAAAACAAAACTATACTTAAATCGTTAAAAATTAGACAGTTAGACGAACACACTGTGTGTTAATTATTGACTCAGTTGATCAAAATAATATGAATTGCCGACTGCTCAAATTGCATGTCCCTCAATGTACAAGGAATAGGCTGTTGAAACTAATTGAAGCATTTTAAAGTTTTCCTTTCTTCAAAGAATTTGTAGGAACCAAGGGCTGTATTTATATTCGCCGAAGCTTGCCCCTTGAATCGTGCTATTTTGACATGTATTTCTGCAGTGTTATCTCATTAACAAGTGAAGTAAACAATTCTCCGGATTATGTGACTGTTGAGATTTAAGGTTTTTCTTAAGAGGAAAAATCAAAATGAGAGAGACAAATATTGCTCAAGACTGTCCATAAATGGTAATGACATTGCTTAATGTTTGTACTTAACCTTTTGCTGGCCTGAATTTCCCATTAGAATTGATAGCAATGTTTTGGGTAAAAAAACAAACAAGAAACTTCAGATTGTACATTATACATGGAGGGTAACTTGAGTGTCAGAATAGCAGAGAGGTTTTCTTCAAAAGCATGTTGAAAAGGTAGTTGATGCAAAAGCATGATTTTATAGGAACTACAAAAATTGACCAGGATTGTGTCTCTGTATGGAAACCAGAACAGCATTCTGAAACGTATTAATTTAAAATTAACTTGTTTTAAATCCTCAAATCCAGGGACCGAGATCATCATCTAAAGACCTATAAGTCTGTGGTCCCAGCGAGCAAGCTGATAGATTGGCTTTTAGCACAGGTAAGGAGGGAGGGAAAGGGCAAACACTTGGGGACCCCAGACTGTGCATTGGGATACTGCAGACATTGAACTCGCTAAAACCCGAGACCCCTATCATTGAGAGCACTTTCTGTCTAGCTTATGGCTGCTTGTCCAGCTTGGAACCTCTCTATTGGGAAGTGGGAAGAATCGGTGCTCCCAGAAACTGGTCTGCCACTCACAAGACCTGCTGATGCCAGGAAGGCAGACTGGTCTGTCATCAACAGTGCCCAAGAGTCCTACAGACCTGCCTGGTTCAGGAACTGGACTGTCGAGATCGTTATGGAGGGCATGGGGTGGGGCGGTGAGTGGGGGGAGGGGGGCTATGGTGAATGGGGGGAGGGGGTTGGTGGTGGGGGGCAGTGGGTTTGGTGGGGGTGCATGGGGGAGCAGAACCACATGAGGCCTGGCTTGGGGTGCGGTGCTGAATGGCAGTCTTGTGCATTTTCATACAATCCCTCAGAAAAATGCTATTGAGGGTTATTTTCATGACATTGTGCCCTATTTGATAAGTGATTCTTATGGAACAAAGTACGAGATTAAAAAAAATAGCTTTGTTATTTTAAAAGAAATAAGAGCTCCACCTCGAAAAGCCATATGCAATCCCAGTTGTTTTATCTACAAGACAAATTGTTCGTGACTGGGACCACAGCTCTTTAAGTGAACTTTAGCTAATTGCCTCCAGACACATTGTCTTTGTCCTCTCCATTTCCTTTACACGTTATTCATGGCTCTGGTTGTGCTATTTTTGAACGTCAATGGAAACCCGTTCCATTTCTGTTTTAAAAGGGCATTGTCTGAGGCAAATAAAAGCCCTGGGGTTCTAAATTTAGATTTGCAATGGAAGCGTTTCAAAAGGAAATCACTTGAGGTGCTGTATTTTAGTTTTTTTTTTAAATTGTCGTCTTGTTGCTAGGGTGACTGCCAGACCAGAGAGGAAGCGGTCACACTGGGTGTCGGACTGTGCAATAATGGCTTCATGCATCACGGTAATCGATCAAAGAAACATCTTTTTATCAGTCTGTATTTTCAATGCGATAATTGGAACTTCATCATCATTTCGCTTGACAGTCACTCAATAGGAAGACATCCTGCCGTCTCCCTTTGTCCTCTGCAGTATTCAGCGTTTTTATTTACACGTTTCGTGCTTTCTGCACCTTTCTGCACATCATCCCCTTATTCTCCTTCAGCAATGAGAATTCGTTGAACCCCATTTCTCTCTTGGACTACATCAATGACGGTCATCAATGACGATCATCAGTGAAATCCTGTGGTTTGGTGGTTGCCTTCGGCTACATTAATGGAGCGGCTCGCTCTAGTTGTACATGTATTGTTTCCATTTCCAGTGCGATCAAAATGTTGTGGTTGTCAGTCTGCATCATCTAGTCAATGACCCGAAAGCCAGAAAACATCAGCTGGTCAAAAACCAGCATGGTTTGTGTCGCTTCACGATGATGATGATGATGATGATGATTCGAAACGAGACATCACCTCAAACAATAGCTTAGAATTTCTGCAGAAATCAAGTTTTTATTATAAAACTAGACTCTGCCTGGCAATATTTCACCAGAAATAAACCAATGATTGTAGTTTGAAGCAAACAACCAGCTACATTTGTCAAATGCCTCCTCCTCCTCTTTTACAATGAAATCTTAAAAATCCCAACCATCTCAACTTATTACCCATGTAAAAGTTGATAAAACCGTTTAAATACAGCTTATGGATCTTGTCCCCCTTTCACCCAGGTCTAAGTTTTGTGAATTTTTGTGTTTATTTTTTTTAAAAAGAACCCTTGGAAATATTTTCAGTAGCAGGAAATCGTTTTGCCATTGTTTCAATTCAATTCATCTCTGGACATTGTCTTTTTACAATTATACAATGACAATTCTGTACATTATGACCAATGAATGTCTTGATACTTTGATCTTTTCCCTGTAGTTTGCACTGGCACCATGTGCAATCCTGTTTCTCCCCTCCTTTGTTTTGACAACATTTAGCTTCAACTTTAAAAACCCCTGTTACATAGAAAGGGAGAATACAGGTTTTAAATGCCATAGTTAATCTTTCTTAGACATTCATAGTTCCTGACTGTTAAGCAATTCCAGTTTAATTGCGGGAAGTTTTACCAACATGTTGACCAAACTGCCAACATTGTATAGGAGTTGATTTGAATGCTGTTGTTGATAACGCCTAACACAACAACAACAACAACAAGCTTACATTTGTATAGCAAATATAACCTATGAAGCTTTCCTCCCACCCTCATGAATGATTTAGAGCTATTGTTTCAACTAAAAGTTTAATTGAAATGCTGTAGGTCACCAAACTCTTGACTAATGGGCTAATGGTGTGTATTAAATATTTTAAGTATTTTACTTTAAACTGAGAGTGGGAGCATTTGTAATTAGCAGTTGTAAAATGTGCATTGTGTTATAGTGAACCCAGAATTGACCCCTTTTTAATAAATTGCACCCAATATTATGAAACCTTTTTGAGATTCCCACTGTGTCTCTTTTTCCTTGCTGTCAAATGGAGATTGTTTTAATGACCATTTAAATTTTTCACATTAACAGTCCTGGAGAAAAGCGAATTCAAGGATGAATCCCAGTTTTTCCGCTTCTACGCCGATGAAGAAATGGAGGGTACGAGCTCCAAGAACAAACAGCTGCGGAACGACTTCAGATTGGTTGAAAATATCCTTGTTAAATCTCTTCTGGTAAGCAGATAAATGTTTCTTTGCCCTTGGCATGATAGATGTTTCCATGTTTATTTCCAGAGTTAATGGTTTGAGAGATATTTGTTTATTCAGAGCGATGAGATCATTACATTAGACAGTTAACCATGCAAATACGTTTTTTCCTGTGAATTTACACCAATTTTGAGTTACTTTTTTTAAAAAAAGTGGGATACCATCGAATATTGCTGAGCTGATCAAAAAGTTTATAGACTGCTAAACCGGAATTCAGATCAAAGCATCTACTGTATTACATTTCTTGTTGCTTTCGTGACTTGTTGTAGTGCATTTATGTTGCAAGATCTGCCGTGCGCAATTGTCTGCCGCATTTTGCCCACAAAATATACTGTCAATTCACTTTACAGTATATGCCACAAAGCGCTTTGAGAGATCTCAAAGACATGATAAGGCTCTATATCGAATGCAAGGGTTATTATTAAGATTGGTTGAAACACTTTGGGACTGTTGCTGATTTCATTTGGGTGAATTTATTCTGCGGGGCAGGAAGTAAAACACTAGCAGCAGCATCGAAACTTCATGCATTAGACAGCAATATTCTGATCGTCAAAAGTCTCAGGTTAGACTTCCCAGTAAGTGCTGAGTTAGCTATTCACAGCTGAGATGGCAGGAGAGAGCTACACTTGGTCTCAAATGCTTTTGAGATTAGGAGCAGATTAGTGGGAGATTAGGAGGTTTTTTTTGCACAGATCTTTGTTAGGATGAGAATGCCCAGTCAAATGTGCTGGCTGAGTCACAATCAATGTTATCAATCAAAAATCAACACAAGTATCTAAAAAATAATAATTTTGTAAGGGGGACAAGGCAAGTACTTGGGACTGAACAGATTGTTCTCTCAAAGCGCCAGCACAGAAATGATAGGCTGAATGGCCTTCTTCTGTGCTGTATATTTCTGTGGTTCTATGGGCTATGAATATCTATCATTGTTCAATAAAATCATTCGCTCGTCAATGATTCCAACTGCAACGGACATGTGTGCAGGAAGGAATCAGACCCACCAAGGGTCACCAGGCCAAATGTGTACACTGACCCACAGGAACTACGCTCCATTGCAATTTACTACCAAAGCAGAACAGGGAAATCTTGTTAAGAAATATCACGCATTAGGAGTCCTTGGAACATTTCACATCATGCAGTGCTTTTGTGTTGTTTAGAGCTAGGTTGGTTGTCTTATCCTTATCACGAGCAGTCTGCTTTGTGTCACTGATTTTTGCAATATTTTGAGCATTGAGTACAAATTCTTGTGGTGCAGTAATGAATAGTGTGTCGTTTTTGGAATTCTTGGTATGAACAAAAATTTGCTGCAGATGTTCATTTGTGACATCCTGGTATTGTCTTTGATTCTTATCGTCTAGTTGCAGTGGGTCTGTCATTTAAATAAAGGGCACAAAAGCTTTTCTCATTTCTTTATTCTATTGGTTTTCAATAAAATCATTCCTCCAGAGCTGAATGGGATATTTGTTCTTTTGCTTTGAAAGTGCCTACAGAAACCGAGTGTAGGTTGGGCTAATTCACTTGATGTGGTTGAAAACATTTGTGTAACTTTTTGATTCGGAAGGCTTTTTTTTTCGGAGTTGAAGGACAGGTCTGTTTGAATATTAATTGCTTTTGATTTCTTGAGTATGGAAAATACTGCTGATGTTTTGAAATGTTGCCAAGGCTGTTAGGGAGGGTTAGTTATCTATTAACAGTTTTTTGGCAGTAATGTTTCTTTTGGTGGTGCCCATTTTTTTTTCCCCCCATTGTTGCTTTGTCTTCTTTCCAAACATTATTGCACACGAAAGCCTGTTGAACCCGCAGCCTTTTCATTTTGTTTAACCTGGTGACATTTCTCTTTTGACTTCCAAAGGAAAATCATTCAGCTTCCATGATTCAGGCTTGCCAACAGGAAGGCACTTAGAACATCCTTGGTCCCAGTCTGAGCAGCGATCATTTATTTTTCGACCAAATACTTGTTGCGAATGAACCGTACCAATCTTCCAGGACAAGAACAGAGCAATTTTGACGTCAGCCAGATATTGACCCGCCCCCCAACAAACGCTTGTCACAAGTTATTTATTTTATTAAGATATAATAATTTGATTACTCAATCCACGACTGTTTGTGGGAAATGCTGTGCGCAATTGGCTGCAGTGTTTCGCCCACAAAATAGACAGTCAATTCACTTTGCAGTATAAGGCGCTATTCCAAATGCAAAGATTATTATTATTATATGCAGCAATAGCGCATCTCTTTAAGTGAGGGCTTGTGCCACATGTGCCTCAGTGATTGACGCCTCTTAATATAAAATAAATTGCTATCTCTATCTAAAACGCTACAGACTATGATGCAGGCATCTTTTTTTTCTAAATCTATGTACTTGCCCGTTAGTGAAGCTTCTAAGTGCTACTTTAAAACAAAAATAGAATATGTTTGTACTTGACTTTTCACCTAGAAATGTCGGTTCTGGAGCACTGGAAGGTCAATCACTGCGGAGTTCACGCTCTTCAGCTTGTTGTGAATCGAGACACAAGCTCGATCCTATTCCTTTGCCGCGCTCGCTCGCAATGATTGATCTGTGGAAGAAAATTAGTGAAGCACTGGCTCTGGTGTAGCGTAGATTGAAAATTGGCTGATGTTGAGGGCTCTGACGGTGAACCTTCGACCCCGGGGTTCAGAAGTGTCTGTGCGCATTCCTCCACCTCGCTAATCGCAGGGCAACGATTTTACCTTATGAACGGAAAAGTGTTTACAGTTTGGTTTATTGGGCACCGCAGAGGACTGAAGATTGAAGAGCACCAATTCTGCATATCCTCCTCAGAAGCCATCAACAGCCTCTCAAGGTTGAAGTGCTGTAATTTTCACAGCACGGCACACTCTCAGCACTTGGTTGTGTGCCAGTGATGAAACATATCAGGAAACCATTTTGCCAGGCTTGCACAGGCTATAACTCTTACTTGTGAAGAGAGTTGCTTAATACTGTCTGAATCAATGTCATGGTATATTGTGCACCGTTCTTTGATGATGATGATAATAATCCTTGCAATTGATATAGCACCTTATGGCTTTAGACGTCTCAAAGCACTTCACAGAATATACTGTAAAGTAAATTGACTGTATATTTTGTGGGCGAAACGCGGCAGCCAATTGCGCACAGCAGCGTCCCACAAACAGTCACGGATTGAAGTGACCACTTTATTATTTTTTTAAGGAATTATTACCCCCAGGAAAGCGATCCGCCAATCGACTAACAGTCGACTAACTTTGATGAACTTTTTTTTAATTTAAACAAATTGGAGTCCCTTTGAGTCATGAGTTAGGCATTTATTCCCCACATCCCCAATTTATCTTTCGTAGGATTAATATGAGAAGTGATGTAGACCAGAGTGTGTGATACACGCAAGGGAAATGGTTTGAATAATATCCCACAGGATGTATTTGGGGTATTTTATTTGACGTACATGCTACGAAGTCAACCCATTATTTCCTTCTTGTTTTTAATTTCTCTTCCCTTAGATTCTGCCTGAAGACGAAGGATATGGATTTGAAATTGAGGAAAAAAACAAAGCCATTGTGGTGAAATCTGTACAAAGTGGCTCTTATGCTGAGGTAGGTTCTTCACTGTGTAAAAAAAAAGCTTACGTTTGAAGGTTAAACGGAAGAGTTTCAGACGCCTCGGGTTACTGTGTACGGTGAGGAAAATTAAAAAAGAGTTTTATGATATTGGCTTGCACACCTTGGCTAAGGGAAGAGGAGAAGAGTGCAGTAAAAGCTCTTGCTGTCTAAAGGAACCTTCAGACTCGCAGGTGTATCTACAGAGCATCATAATCAATATTAGACAAGCTTTCAGATATCCTACTTTATGGATTAAATGTGCTAATGTACTTTGAGTGCCTTCATCGCTCAAAAGCATTTCATGGTTAAAGAGCAGAACATTGTCCAGTTTTAAATCGGGTTTAAATGCTCCGGAACCCTACCCTGCGTGAAGGCTGCTATATAAATGCAAGTTGTTGTTGTTGGTACAGTCCTGTGCTCTTCAAAGCAGTGTATGGATATTTCAGATATTTAAGCCATTTCACTGTTAAAGCTAATTCCTAAGTCCCGATACCAGTGTTTCTACACTAATGCACAGAAATAAACATTTTACAAAGAACAGAATGTTTTAATGATGGTCTGTATTATGTGCTGTTTCTCCTTTTTGCTTTCCCTGGAAGTTATGTGGTGCAGGTACACGCTCGATATTGTAGCTGGGGAGTAGGGATTCCTCCCCACAGTGTAAACTGGACCTGATTCTCATTCCAGCAAGTACACCAGAGATAGCCAGTTCTGTTTGCACTTCCCCCGAAACACTCTGCAACACGAATGTGCTATAAGAAAGGGAACACAATGTGGAGTTGCTCATTTCATCTAAATAACAAAGTTGCACCTGAGAACCCACTTGGTTCATGACACTGTCCCACACACCAATACCATGAAGATTACCTGTCATTCACACTTAACTGGTGTGAACGGCCTGTGACTAATGGCAGAGATATATTGCAGGAGACTGGTTGAAAGCCGGTTGGAAATCAGTTTGCACGCCTGCAGTGGTTTTTTTTTCATTTTCATTTTGACTTTTCATTTTCTCATAGTTCCCTAGAAACGTTTTTCGAAACTGAGTTCCAGATCATGTCATGAATGAACTGTGGCCACAACTCTGTATGTTTATTCCCATCCGAATTAGGACCTTTTAGACATTTCATTACACATTGCAGGAGGTTTGATTCTGCGGATGACTGAAAGCGCGTTTATTTCAAATGGCTTCTTCTAACTCCCAGTTAATTTGGTGGTTGCTTTTCAAAATGTTTCAGGAACATAAAATTCTCCATCCAGCAGACTGTACCTTGCTTAGGAACTAGCATACTTGTATTTCTAGAATGGTTTGTGGTATAACGGAAGATAGCGGTACTATATTTGCTGTTTACCAGTATCACGTACACCTGAGATGTTCCCAATCGCTCTTTGACAAGAATGTGTCATTGTAACTTGTATTTCCTGGGATTAGCCTGTTTAATTGAGATTCCCATTGAAAACTCTCATAAAGGCTTCTCTGTGAAGCACCATCGCATTTAACATAGTGGATAGTCCAGCGACTGTATTAAGTAGAAAAACACTCACTGTGCAGGAGTGCAGGTGCTTTTGCTAATGAATGTTTTGCTCATTAAAAATAACTTTGCGCGACGTTAAGGATTATTTAAGTGCCTCGCCTGTCGCAATGGAGAAAGTGTTGAGTATTGTTAGCGGGAGGCTGGAATGCTAAGCACAGATTGCCTGCTTGATAATAAATGATGAATCACTTAAGGATGCTGGGCACATTATCATGCATTATCATGCAATGGGGTTGTTGTGTAAAATCTGAGCAGATGTGCCTGATGAAAGCCAGGATATTGGTTATTCAGGAACAGAAGAAAGGAAGCAAATTTAATTAAAAGTACATGTTTGCTGGACAAATTTTTCCATATTGATGTGTCGCAGGATTTCAAATAGAAAGGTTTGTGTTGAGTTACCACACGGGCCTTGTTTATCTTGTAATTTGGCACCAATTTGCAGTGGTTCGAGCCACGCGTCACTAGTTTTATCTTTCATCTCTTTCCCTTATTGCTCTCAAAATCTGAATTTATTTAAATAACTGCAATTTCTGAGTATTTTGTCAGGGCCATGAACTGTGAGGAATTGAGTCAGTGACTCACGTTTACCTGTTTAACAAAGGACTTGACTTCTGCTATTATTTCTATCTGCAGATTGCAGGTCTTCAGGTAGGAAGGAAGATCTACTCCATCAACGAGGACCTGGTTTTCCTTCGACCGTTCCTGGAAGTGGAGATTATTTTGAACCAGTTTCATTGCAGTCGGAGGTCACTGAGGGTGCTGGTTGGAACCAAATCCAAAGAGTGAGTCAGATTTGCTTGCTCTCCTCTCGTGATCCAATACAAGAAGACAAATACAAATCTTTCAGAACTTCAGTAGTTACTTAATCATGCGGTACCTATTTCAAAACAAAGTGTGGATTATTTAAAGATTAATCAACATGGCTATTTAATCCACCCTGCCTCTTCCCCAATCCCTTTGTCCTCTTGAATAATCAAGAATTGCAAATATTTTGGCCTACGGCTTTCTAGGTCAGTAGTGCTCCAACTGCACGTGCCCCTTGCTGCAATATTCCTGAACCTTCATAGAGCACCTCAATTATACTGGTATGACATTCCCACTTTTCCTCATTCAACGTCCTTTTCTCCTGAATGGAACCAGTAATTTAGTGCTGCTAATTTGACTTAAGTTTTTTCACCTATGAGTGAAAACATTCACTTGACCACTTGCATTGTGTTCCTAGTCAAATCTAATCTATATAGATCTGATTCCAAGTATGACCCAAATTCTGCTACCTGTCATTTCTGTTACAAACCAGATAATATGCAGCACTATAACTGAACATGTTGCAGTGTGGTTTATATTGCCTGTTTCTCCAGAGCATTTTTGGGGGAAACTCAATGCTCATTCCCCTTGATGCCCAATTTGTAACAGCTTGATTAGTTTCCTTCAGCCTGAATATGAAACGGAGAGTTGCTAAGGGATGTTTCGTAACCACAATTCGACGGGTCTCTCGGCTGTTAAATATGTGACTGTCGAATGGTACTGTTGCTTGCATCTCATGCATGGCAAGGTGCCAGGGATTCTGAAGAAAATGTACGACTACAGTAGTGATTTGTTAGAGATCGAGCAAAGAGAATGCTGAAACATCGTGAAGACCAATGGGACATTATTTATATCGCATGTAGGGCCTGACCTGATAACTCATGAATGACTATGGCTCTTGCCAGTTATGGTTAGTCCCGTGAGTGGAATATAATTTTATAGTGAAACCCAACAGCCCTCGCAACTCAGCCGTTTTGCATCTCGCCTCAGCTCTTGGATAAAGAGGTCAGAATTTTTGATGATGGTGCATTCCTGTCATGAGTCCAGTAGAACTGGAGCTGGAGTGAGTGCCAATTAGGTTATGGTGTGATGTGGATTCAGAATCTCCACAAATCAAAACAACATTTCCAACCCATTTTGTGAAGGAAATCAGTGGAATAATTGAACCGTGATGTAGTGTTCAACAAAAAAATGTTGTGGCCCAGAATTCGGATTGCTTATTGAAAAACACTGGTTTTAATGAGAAACAGTAGCGCAGAAATCCCATTCTTACCAGCGAAGAGGAAACCACAGAATCAAACCATTTTATACGCTCCAAGTGCTGATATAAACCAACGAAAATACGCATACCGAGAGCTAGTTGAACTGTTCAGTGCTAGCCTGCAGGAAAGCCAGATCTGCTGCCGCCATCAGACCACATAGATTTGTAAGGAATCCACTTTTGTAGAACCTTTTTAGAGCAAGCCAAAATAATCAGACGCAAAAGAAACTTGAGTGCCTTAAATGAGCGGTAGGCATGAGGCAACAATTAACGTACACAGTAAGATTATTTGGAGTAGGGGACTGTGTCTCAAACTTCCGCATCATACTCGCACGGTCATTGCATATATCAATGTTCACAATGTTCTGGGTTTATTAACTTGGCGCAAACCTTTCTTTCAATCCATTTAGCCCGATAAAGACAGAATTCCTGAAAATTGGTGAAAATAAATGTAAAAATCCTTCGTCCAAACATGTTTTCATTGGTATTTTTTTTAAAAATGCAGCAAATTCACAATTACAAATGGGTTTGCATGAAGGCCACATTAAGCTGACACACACAGTGCAGTGCTTGGAGGGGAATTGCTGTATTATTAGTGGCACTTGTATCAATAATAATAATAATAATCCTTGCGTTTGACAATCCTTGTGTTTGAGACTTTAAACTGAGGTCCTGTGTCTGTACAGGTGGACATGAAAGATCCTACGGTATTATTTGAAAAGAGAAGCGAGTTTCACTGGGTGTCCTGGCCAACAATCCCCCAGATTTAACGAAAAAACTGTTCATTCATGGCTGTTTACGGGACATTGCTATATGCAAGATTGTCTGTTAAGTTCAAATTACACAGTATTATGAATTCCATAAATTTACAGTGACTACACTTACCGAAACCCCTGAAGTGCTTTGGGATGTTTCAACATAAGGTACAATATCAGATGCCAAGGAATATTATTGTTGTAAATTGTCATGTGATTTTAATCTCTTGATGGCTTCACCTGCCTGTGGCTGTTGCAAAAGGGTTCAATCCAACTTATAAGACACACATTGTTGGTATTCAAAGCTTTGTTTTTGTACATTGGTGCTTTCAATGTGGCTGGGGACTGAGATGTCCTGATGCATTTAAAGGCACTGAACTTACAGTCCTCAACTAGTGTGACTTAGGTTTGTGTGAAATCCATCTTGCGAGAAGCCTCCGATTCCACATTTTAATGAGTTGCTACTTACAGCCCAGATTCTCCGATTTATATTACCCTGCAAAGTTTTGTTAGGTTTCTCATGGTAGCTGAAGGGAATGGCTGATTCCTGGCATTCATAAACACAGAGGGTTGGCCTTGTGATGACTGTACATACCTAGGGTTATGGCAGACTTGGGAATGTTCTACAAATGCCTGTTCCTGGTGAGCAGAAAGCTGAGCGCAGCTGTGCACTATTTATGTTTTGTGTTTTCAATGCAGGATAATCAAGATACCCGACTCCTCGGAAGGGCTGAGCTTCCAGATCCGTGGGACTGCTCCACCCTATGTTCACGCGGTTCTGAAAGGTAAGGTTCTCTTGTCAAGCTTTGTTCCGTCCAAAGCTTTGAAATGTTCGCACAGCACTCGTCTTGCGTTTATTTCATTTATATTTCTCAGAGAAGCACGGAGATGATGCAGGACGAGCTCATTTATTATCACAAAGTAGTTGGGGGATCAATAGTCATAATAATAATAATTCTTGCATTTGACAATCCTTGCATTTGATAAAGCACCTTATTATGCCATCGAGACGTCTCAAAGCGCCTCACTGAACATATTGTAAAGGCTGTGTGTTTTGTGGGCGAAATATAGGTTAGCTTGTGCATAGTCACTTCTCCACAGTCCAGTACATCCTGCAAGGCAATTTGAGACGTCCTCATGACGTAAAAGGCGCTATATCCAATGCTAGGATTATTCTTTTGCTTTTGGGGGTTTGAGGCTTGAGAGCTCAGTTCATCCTGAACAAAGTAAACGCACTGAAATATTGCAGTCACAAGTAAACATTTTAAGGATTTCTGAAACCTCTTCCTTATGTGGCCCGTCAACGTATTCTGCCAGAACACAGGCACCTTTCACTGAAATAAAATCCAGAATGCCCCCTCGCTCACCTGCTTACAATTATAGCATTTCCACACGAGTTCAAACTTATTTTGGTTCAAAGAGAGTGAAATTGTAGGTCGTCGTACCTCTCTCCCATTTAAAGTCACGATTACTGTAATTACGGGACTTGTCAAAAGTGTGGTTCTCAAAGCAAGGTAATTAAAGATATACTTTAAAAAAAGGACTTGATTTAGAGGCCGTTTACACAAGTGGTAACCAGCCCGCACAGGTTTGGGATGCAGTGGCAGTCACAACCATCACCGCATTCCTCTTTAAATTTCAGCTGAGTTGTATTTTGAGTCGCTCGTTTCAATAATAACAACACCGATTTGGTCTGTAACACAATCCACTCGAAGGAATAGGAGCTAGATTTGGGTGGTGCCTCAATGAATGCATCAAAAATTCATTTTCACGCAATGGTTACGAGAGCAAAGAATTCTTCACCCAGACTTGTTTAGTTTTCAAATTCCTTCCTTTTGCCTATGATTTGGGTTCCGCCCACAAAATATTCGGTCGATTCACTTTACAGTATATTCTGTGAAGCGCTTTAAGAATTGACTGTAAAGTGAATTGACTGTGTAATACCTCTTCACATAACAGTCCCAAATCATCAGGGCCGTAAGTGAAATGGACTGGTGTTAATTCAGTTGTGGCCTAAAGTCATTTTTTTTTTATCTGAAGATTCGGAACGGATAACACAAGCTTTTTAACTTGTATAAATTGACCGGAGAGAAAACGCAAACTGTTTCAATAGACAAAATGTTATGTTTGAATATTGATAAGTCTCGTCTCCTCTTGTTCTAACGGGGAAGCTATGCAAGAGTTTTTTTGGGGGATGGGGTTTGTTTCTGGGAGCAACAATGCTGGTATCTTTCACATTAACTGGAAAATGCACAGAAGTACTGTTGCTATCTCCTGAGAATGACTTCACCTATCTCCCATGTTAATTGGCAATATGCCAGAGGTAGTTTTTGATATTCGTCTGGGAGCAACTGTAACCAGAAGTTCCCAGGGTGATGATTTTTTACACGTGCTGGGTTCAAAGCTACATGGTGCAGCATAAGAGTTCCTTCAGTATCTCCTTCCTGAACACAATTCTTGCGATCATTCCTAAGAGGAAAGGTTTAAGCAGGAGTTGTGAGAAAGGCAAAATTGGCCTTTAGCCTTTTTTTTGTAAAAAAGCATTCTTTGCAAATGGACTGGCACTTCAGTTAAATAAGCAGCTATTCTTGCTAAAAAGGGAATAATTGTTAGATCTCTGGATACACAACTATGCTGGGTCAAGAGTATAGAAAAAGTATAGCTTCCTTACAATGTAGACCCAGAGTCCGTTTATCGATTCTCTGCTGTTGAAAAATACTACTCCCAAAAACTTAACGCCCTATAAAGTCTTTCCCATACTTACGTATGCAAGGGTACCAAAAGTTGTGATCTCTACCATATTATTTAAAAAATGTATATCAGCATTTCTTTAAGATTCAAACGTGGAGTTGTTTGAGTGCAACAATATGCTGTAATTGTTTACTTCAATGCTGTAATGTTTTGCTAAAATGTGGTATGCCGCTAGTAATGTTAAAGAAGCTTATCAAGCATTCATTTTGCTTCTTAAACCATTTGCACAATGGATTGCAGCCTAAATAAACAAAATGTGTTTGAATCGTGCTGACAAATAACATTGAGTAATAATCACAGGAAGAGCTATTTATTACATAAACGTGTGAATACCGTAAATCCCAGAACTATTTGCTTACATCGTGGGCTTGATTTCTGATGGCCCGTAATTCACAGAACCAGACGGGCGGGTGATTGATTCTGATTCTCTGCTGGTCAGTCAGTGTATCCTGTCCGTATGTCTGTTTGAGGAATCTTGACTCGCTACATAAAGCTTGTTAAGAATAAAGATGCGGCAGATTTTCGCCCACAAAATACACAGTCAGTTTGCTTTGCAGTATATCCTGTGAAGTGCTTTGAGACGTCTCGAAGGCGCTATGTCAAATGCGAGGATCATCATTTTTAGGTGAAAACAATTCTTTCGAGACAATTTGCATCTTCATTGAGACCTTGAGTTCAATTGATTTGAGTCTCTGCATTTGCAGACTCTTGTTTCTTTTTGGTTTGTTGAGTTAAAGCATCTGTTCCCCATGTTTGCTTCTCTCTGTCACCCCTCTCCTAGGGGAAAAAAAAGAAAAACCTGTTATGGGACAATGAAGAACATATGGGTAGCGTTCTAAGTCATCAATCTTCCTTTGTCTCCTCAGGACTTCACACGTGCTTAGCAAGAAAGTAGTCACAAGATACAATTTACAAAATGCCAAACCAGCACGAAACAGCCCAGTTCCCTTTTTCCACACTAATCAACCTTTGTGTTCGATCTTTGTGAATGAAAATCGCTCCGTTTCCTGGAAAAAAATGGCATTTGTTGGGTCCGATGGTTCATGGCATTATTTTGTACATTTTCATTTGATTCCCGTTGATTTCACAAGCTGTGATATTTTATTTCCCCAATACTGACCCGAGATCAGGGTTAAAATGCTGAAGACAGACATGAAGAGAGAGGGTTTCACTGAAAGATAAGGTGTAGCACTCCTGCAGATTTTATGAGTGGACAATGTACATGGTTCTGTCTGTATCAATGAGATTCATATATTCCAGATCTTATCAGTTTCTCTGCGGCATTTAGCGATAGCTAAACAAATATCTGATGCAGAATAGCTACAGGGATAGGAGTCTAAGTCTGAAATGGACAAATATTTAATGGTACTTGACAATTCCTGTGACATGGAAATGGGGGTGGGGGGGATGGGAGGGGAATGTTGTATGATGTCAGGGACTCAGAGTTGAACATTAAACACGTGAGGTTGTTGGAATTATTTTTGCTGGAAATGTTTGGGGTTCGGAAAGTATCCACACAGACCTTTCCCCCAGCAGTTGGTGTGCGTGTGGTGAGGCTCTGTGCAAGGAGTAGATTTGGTTGGATATTGCTCTTACTCACCTTTCAATACATGTTAGCTTCGATTTGTAACTCAAGCAAACTCTTGGATTGCTATGTTGCATGCTTTAACTACACGCAGTTTTGTAACAAGTAATGTTTTAGGAGATGTAAGATTCCGCTATCTTTACAGGGTCGGGGGCTGCAGCAGCTGGGCTTCTTCCTGGCCAGTGTATTTCCAAGGTAAACGGCAACAATGTCAGCAAGGAGAACTACACTGCTGTCCTCGAGCACTTCAACTCTAACAGGAAAAACCTACTGGTAAGAAGCAGTCTTCCAGAATGCTGCAGCCAGCCTTGGTCGGTGTCCACCACAAGATTTACAATATAATGCAATGCAATTTACACATACATAGTCTCTCAAAGTGTTTCACACAGCTGCCTGGGCACCTGAACCGTGGGTGGGAGTGGGGGGTTGTGGGGAGCTGGAGAATGATGTGGGGCAAGGTTCGGGGAGAATAGATTAGAATAATAGTCCTTGCATTTGATATAGCACCTTATCACGTCATCAAGGCGTCTCAAAGCGTTTCACGGGATATACTTGAAAGTAGTTTGGACTGGGTATTTTTGTGGGCGAAACGTGGCAGCCAGTTTGCGCGCAGCAATGTCCCGCAAAGAGCCATGGAATGAGTGAGCAATTTTATTTGGAGGGTTTGTTGTCCAAGTCACCGGGAGACAGAGAGTCAACTCCCTTCTCTTTTCGAATTGCGTTGAACTGATATGTTCTTGTTTCATTTTGATTTTGAGCAGAAAAAAGGATCCAATCAATGGATATATAGGACGGTGGAGGACGCAGACGCAGAGGCAACACAAACAAAAGGCAAAGCAGATTGCCTTCGCCTTCTTTCCGAACTATCGGTGCATGAGAAGCGATCGACTGATCAAACTGAAGTACTCGATCACACGAGTATGCAGGAGGCTGGTACGTTGAGATTCATCAGGAACAGAATCTGTCTGTCTGGTTCATATTGATTAATTTCAAAAGAAGCATAGAAGTTTCCAATTAATTACACCTGTCTTAACGGTGACCAACACCAACGATTTCTGGATAGATAATTCCCACTGCCAAATCAGGCCCACAAAATTGAATGAATATGCAGAGAATAAAATTTGTTCATGCACTGTTTTTTACCGACCAGCCACACTGGTTGAATTTGTCAACGCTGTGATAAGTACGATCACATAACCCAATGAGTACTGGGTGTATGTGATTAATGTACAAATTAACAGTCGCTCAGGATTCCCATCTCTTTGTGCAACACTTGTGCCTCCTTTTGGCAGATCAGAGAATTGCAGTGACTGCACTGCTTTGCATTTGAAGAGCCAGACATTTGCAAGGTCTGCCCTTAAATACAGCTCACGTGTTTCTAAGGTACCCGGGGAGGGGATGAGATGTACGAGGTTTCCTGTGTGATCACAGTGAGCTGGTTGAGCCATGGTAGAATTGCAACTCTGCATATAGCTGCAGGATTACTTCTGCTAAATAACTACATTTACTAAGAAAGAAAGGAAGAACCTGCATTTTTACATTCGAGCACCTTATTACACCAAAATGTCTCTTAAGTGAATCACAGATTATTTTTGTGGGTAGAATAGGGCAGCCATTCGCACCAGCAAAGTCCCACAATTGCAATAAAATTCACGATCAATTAATATAGAGGAATGTTGGACAGGGGAACTTTCTTTTGTTTTTCTGGATAGTGTCATGCGACCTTTAGCAACAGGGGGACAGGTACCCAGTTTCACGTTTGTCCAAAAAGTGGCACCTCTTACAATGGAGCATCAACTCTGATTCAACTGAAATATTGATCTGGGACTTAAAAGTTCCTGATCTAGAGTCGAGGTTTCTTGCAATTGAGCCCAATCCAAGCTTCATTTCTAAGATGGTAACTGAGCACTTTTGGTTTGGATGCACTGTGCACCACAGAACTAGAAATAATAGATAGCCTAATCTGTGTTAAATTTTCGATTTTCGCTAACGTAATGTGCTTTCAGTGGTTTGATTAAAAGTGACTCCCAGATGAACAGTAAGAACTATCATGTACTGTACTAACTTTGCACATTGGCAATTATTTATTTCAGAATTGAAATGTCTTGTGACGCCTGAGAATTTCTGTGTTCTGCCACTTCCTCAAAATTACAATGTGTAAATCTTTCACGTGATTACAGAGCAGAGGGGGAATAAAGGACGTATTTATTCGTCAGATATCTGAAGAAAAATGGAAACTCTTAACTTTTTCATTCTTTTTAGGCAATGCTCCAAGATCTGGCCCTTAGACAGCTAATGACATTCATATCCAGTCTCCATTAGTCATTTAAATGTTAATGATCCTCTGTCCACAATGGCATAATCTCCATTTTGACATTTTATCTGTTGTTCCCGATATGTTAATGTTGGCCTTCTGTCTGTGCTGTATTTAATATACTTGTAGCAAGTGGAGAGTTAATTTTTAACCCTGTGAGCACCCCACAGTAACCCCGAAAACTCCCAAGATATTACCCTCGGTGAAAGGGTGCAATATAAATGCAAGTTGTTGAAAACTTGGGTATCAGAACCTGCACATAGATTGGTTTGGAGTAATGTGTGCTGAGAACTACCTCTTCACTTCTACTTCTTAATACTAGCCAGTAAAATCTGAAAAAAGAATGAAATTGTAGAACCCAGTTTATAGAGGGGGTGGAGGGATGTTTTTCAACGAAGTGATGGATGTCAAGGCTGGGAAATAGGAAGCACTTTCTCACCCAAACTCTTTTTACATTGTTCTCCCAAAGTGTCTCCCAAAGTCATTCCCAGGTCAGATGCACAATACATTCTATATTGTGCTTTCATCTCGGAAGGATGTCTCAAAGGGCTTCACGATGCTGGAAGGACACCAGAGCTGGGGGTGGGAGGCGAGGGAATGGAGAGGGGACAGATGACCGAACGCGCAGTCAAATAGGTACCGAGTTATGGTGTGGATCGGATACAGAATGAAGATATCCGCACACTTGGCTTGTAATATCCATCTGCTGTGATTTCAGAACCATTACCCCTATCCTGGCTCAGCTGTAGTTAAAAGAATTTCACATCTGTAACGCGAGGCCAGTGCTGGTTGGGTTAACAAACTCATTAGAAGGAAACAGCAAGCTGAACATCACTCAATGAATTAACGTAATTAGAAACTAATTGCACTGTGTACTTAAGACCAACCAGTAAATAATTGACGAGCGCTGTAAGTTGTTCTTTTAATCAAAGACTGGTATTTAACGTTTTGCCAATTGGGTATCGATCTTTTGTAGACCGGCGACCGAGCTTTGAAGGGGAGACTTCCCATGTCAGCCTGGCGGTGGACAACGTACACTTGGAGCACGGCGTGGTGTACGAGTACGTGAGCGCTGCAGGAATAAAATGCCACGTGAAGGAGAAAATGGTGGAGCCGAGGGGATGCTTCAATTTAACTGCAAAGGTACGGATTGTCCATCCAGTTAGAGCCCGTTGATTTCTTACTTGAACGCCGGGAAATTCAAAATCTGCGATCCTGAAAGATGACTGCCTTTACGTCATCACGTCTGTTGCCCGCTTATAAAAGATTGAGATGTCAACCGACTCCGCGGATAGATGGTGACTGGATTGTCGGAGATTGGATGCCAGCCCATCCATCTTGAAGTGGGCCCACCCCTCCCCTGTTTTTCCCAAAATTCCGCAAACCAATTCCTCCACTAAAAGAGGGCACGTTGGTCTCTGAGGACCGTGTTGGGAATTTGCAAGTTCTCGAAAGGAAATTAACTCAAAATCGTGTGAAATATGTCATAGAAATAGAAGATAAAGAACTAACACGATCTTTTGTTGCATTATCTTTGGTATTTTCGGAGCCAAATTGCACCTGTTATTTTCTGTAGCAAAAGAGAACTCCCAATCTGCCAACTGCACATCCCTATCCAATCTCCTAATCTGATCTAAGAATTTAATGGTTCATTCCCCACTGGTAAAGTTTATACAGTATTGTAATAAACATGTTCTATTATTGCTTATTTTGTTGTGTTGGCATTTAGCGGATCTCGTGAAGTAACCCGAATACATTCTTTGACAGATTGTAGAAGCTTTGAAGACAGACGACAGTCAGTTTGTAAAACATTGCAGAAGACTGCTTTCTTCGAGGAACTCAATCATTTCCACGTCCCAACTTGAGTTCAGGGAACAGTGTGAAATGAAACTCAAAGTAATCAATAAGAGAATCGCTAACTACTCACAGGTACTTAAAACAAAAATGTTTTGCTTGATTGCAGTGTTGCGGAGTGAACTCAAATTTACACAAGGGCTGCATTCTTTGACCTGTCAGTTAAAGATGAAGTATCCCCTTTGTGTTGACCCGTGGAAAGCAAATATTAAACACTTGAGACGTAGATTAACGTTCAATAACTGTGTAGCTGCTTGTAATGGTTTTATGTTTTAAATTTTTTGTTTGGTTGCCCTAAAGCTCATCGTGTCTGCATTTTACAATACAATAATACAGTTTGCATTTATATAATCACCTTTTGAATCAGGAGGACTTCTCAAGGAGTACTTTGAGGTCATAAATTGGTTCAAGTGTTTGTCGGATGATTCCATTATGACGATGATATAAGTGCTTATAAAATGGGAATATCCTGTTTCACAGGGAAGCTCAAATCCTATGTCAAGAAGTTTGTGCCCCAGCATATGGTTAGCATAAATAACTGTATTTTTATACATTTTAACCTTATAAAATAGCCTATAAACTGTGAAATTTACAGCAGGAGTGGAAACTGGGTAACGTCTAGGTAAAATAGATGACTTATTATCATTTGCATTTGGCAGATTGAGGTTCAAATCACTGCTGGCTATCACAGTGGCTTTACTATACTGTACATTACAATGAGTTAGCCTGTCTAGCCTGACTTCTGTGAGATATCAGTTATCCAAACAAGCAACTGAATTTTGATTGCATCTATTTGGATATCAGGCGAGTCAATCAAACCAGTTCAGTTTCATAAATGTCCTGTCATATCATTGTGCCCTAGGTTTAGTGTCTGTCCCTCTTGGCTTCTTTCTCCCTTCCCCACAGTCAGTATGTAGAGATGCGCATTGAGGTAGTGGATTGACATTGCTTGAAAAGTCAAATCAGAATTTTTTTTGTACGTTATCACATTAAACGATTCGTTTTCTGTGAAATGCCAGTTGTCTGATGTACTGTATAGGACTTCCCAAAAGCAAGAGCATTGGGTGCACTTCTTCACAAGATTGGTTTGGATAGAGACCAATTGGATCTCAGGTTTCCACAATACTCACCCGAACATCCTCCCATCACAGCATCAAGCTGTTTCTTCTTTTTTTAATGAGTCTCCTGGTCTGATCTCAACCACTCTTCCTGGGAACTCGTTCCTGCTGTTAGTTATCCTCTGAGTAAAGAAATAGCTCCTGGTGTCTGTCCTGAAATTGCCCTTTGCCACCCTAAAACCTGTGTCCTCTTGTTCTGCTGCCTCAGTGCTTCCAAAAGCAACTTATGTTAAGTTTCCATACTCAGGAAGCTTCGTATGTGTTCTTTTAATATTTCTTGTAAAACAGAAAAATATTTTTAATGCCGAATCCTAACTCCTTGCTATCTATTTAGTATGCTCAGGAGCTGAAGAGTAGAGCATGGCCATCTTTCAAGCAAGCCACAACCAAATTACACTCATTGACCAGTGCTGATTTCTGTCCAACAAACTGTCATATTAATGTGATGGAGGTGTCCTGTCCAAAAAGTATTACTTCTCTTGGAAGGTCTTTCAGCATACGCTTTGGTCGGAAAAGTTCTTTCATCGGTTTGGAACAGGATCAAGGTAAGCGTAATTTTGTTTTTAAAAAAAAATTTCAAATAGCGGTCAATCTATCAGTTGCTGCTCAACTCAACGTTTGTGCTTTGAAGTGTCAATGAAATGCTTTGGTGCTTTAAGTGCTCTGAGACGCCACCCTGAGTGAGGGGTGTTATAACAAATGCAAGATGATGTTGCATCCACGTAATGCACTTAACTTGTTGCCTTCAAGTCGGCCTTGAAAATGTTACGATGCAGCAGGAATTAGAGATTAAATTGAAGGGAGTTTGACCATTCATTATTCAAGAAATTTATTCCAAACAATTGGTAAGGTGATGAACTAATAATAATCTGAATATTATTTAATATTAAATAAACATTAGTATTCTAAAGAGGCAGATGGGACTTTGGTTTAACATCTCATCTGAAAGACAGCATCTCTTGACAACGCAGCACTCCTCCAACACTGTTTTGAAGTGCATCAATTTAGACTATGAGCTGAAAATCCTGACATGGAGCTTGAACCAACGACCTTCTGACTCAAAAGCTACCGACTGAGACAGGCTGTCAACGAGGATTAATTGCTACTGTACTACGAAAGATAAATGCTTCAATGACAATTCAACAGTCGTATATGGCATTGCAGTCAGACACTGTCTCTTTTGTTCGCAGGTATTGTAAATCCTATGATCTGCACTCAGCATAACATCACCACCATGGCTGCTCCCACATGGAAGTGTTTCATCAGAGAGGAGACGGAATCGGGCGATACGGATGAACCGATCAATCAGCAGAACGGAGAGACAGCCCAGGAAGGTGGCGGAGGTCTGAGCTTTTTGCTGAAGCAGGAGGACATGGAGATTCAGGACTCTTCCTTACAGCTCTTCATTAAACTGGAGATCTCCGTTAAAGAAATGAAACAATACGTAACACAGATTAATGTGTAAGTGGGCAATGATTTGCTTGTTGATGGCTCGAGTTGTAAATAGCAATTCAGTGAGATTTAGTTTCCTGATATACCTGTTGCAGTCAAAATAGCTGTCATATATTGTTGTATATTGGTCACTGGGGCCGCTATTGATCAGTAATATAAGAAACGCAATGCGATGCTGATCTTTGTAATGTACTCTATAATCATCATGCTAAAAAGGTCAGCGAATTAGTCTCTTCCTGACTGACGCAGTTTTTCCACATGCAAGTTGTCCCCGTGTCCAGTGCACAAAGACAGCACAAGAAGAGGTTCGTATTCACTCTAGTTATTGTTGCCAGGTGGGACACCAAAGAGAGAGAGAGAGAGAGAGAGAGAGGAAAAAAATCATTTCCATATGGAAACATTTATTCTCAATCCCAGAATAACCATGCTTTTTCTTTTTTTTTTTTGCTGTGTCTGCAGTCTGCTGTCCTCGATAACGGAGCCAGCTCAGTCTGAGGCTTCAGAGCAAACTTCATCTGACCTCGCTCTGCCTCCTTCGATTCTGACGGAAGAGAATGAGATCGACAAGGCTGAACACTGCGGAACAAAGAGAGTCTGCTTCGTGGTGAACGAAGAAGAGCAAGAAGACTCTGGACACGATACCACAAGTTACAGAGATTCCTATAGGTATGAACCTCTTCGGGACGCTGTCAATAACAAAACATTCGATTGGTTAGCAGTCTTAACAAAGGTTTAATTATTGCAAGCTAGTGTTTTCTCTTTTCTTATCCATTTATTTGACCTCCTTTGCTGAACTTGTTCCCTTCGCGCACATCTGCCGTTCCGTGGGGGATGGATGTCATTCTGTAACCATTTTATTTCAACACCATTCCACCCACGGTGTACATGCCTCTTCATTCTACCAGCACACATTATCCAGTTGAAGAACACCAACAGCGACTTACATTGATACGGCGCCTCATATACTCTCATTTAAGCAATTGGTACGGAATTTATTAGCTCTAACTTTGCTTCCGGGGCAGAGAAAGTTGTGTTTTTGCTGGGTTTGAGCTTACCGCAGCTCCTTTGACTTTTGACCCTGCCTGGAGAGGATGCAAAATGGTTCATTACAGCGACGTGAAGACTCTGCATTTCATTCCACTGAGCTACTTTCGCCTCCCTCTGCTCGTGTCAGATTTATTCTCATACTTGTAAAGCTCCGTGAGGTGGGAGGAATTGAAAAGTTTCCAATCACAACACAAAACCAGTGTCTTCTTTCCCAAACGCTCATTCTGGGTTTCTCTGCTGGATATAACGGGCTTTTCAACCTCGTGCCAGCTGCGATATAACCTCAATACATGACTCCGCGCTTGGTCTGGCTTTTTTTTTATATATGTAAAAGATTTAAATCTGTACAAACAAGCAAAAAGCCCTCATCCCGAAATTTTTACGCGATGTGCTATTTATGAGATCATAAGAGAGTAAAATGAGGATTTATTCACCGAGCGGTAGTTCTGCTTAATTTGTTTTTTTTCCCCCAACTCGGTGTTGGCATTCGGGAATTAATCAATTGCTCCTTTGTGTGCTGATTTGAAACAGATTTCTCTCTTACAACTTGTTCATGCTTGGTGTAGGTTTGGAAGACCAGCTGTTTGAGAGATTTTTTTCTGTGCCAGTCTGCGAGCAATTTTCTCACGAGTTCAGTTCCAAACATTCAGGGGGCTTGTTTTTTTCCCCCCCCTTTGGAATAAAAATAATATAGAGAGTGCCTTTTTTGCAGGTATTTGTGCAGCAAATAGTGCAGCAGAAAAAAAGCAATGTTTATTCAGGTGTTGACCAGAAACCATTTTTCAGTGTCTTGGATTATTTGCACAGAGCTTCTGATTTCAGGCGCGCAATAATTTCAGACTCCGTTTTTGGTTTCATAATCAACACTTGTCAATTCAAACATTCCTGGCATTTTCGTGCCACATTGGAGTAGGAAGTGTGTGAATTATAGAGAAAAAGCTGGCCTTATGGAGCTCTAAAACTGAAAGCTGGATGGTTGTTTTTATGCTGCGTTTAAGCTAGATGATGACTGGTTGAAACGTACCGGATTCTCAAATAGCCCATAACTGCTGTTGCCTGGAATACTCTATGTGGTTACTTTTGCGGGCAGAATTCCAAGCACCCACCAATGTGGAAACGATTGAGGAATTGTTTCTAAGCAATTCTGGCTGTAGATCCCCACCCCCCCACCACCACCCCCGCTGATCTTGTCAATTATCCATTTATATAATGCATTTCACGTCAGGAGGACGTCTCAAAGCATTTCACACTTGCTGGATGAGCACCTGAGTTGGGGGAAGGTTGAGGGGAGGTTGGATAGGCCAACAATGCCAAAACTGCTTTGCCAGGGTGGGTGGGTGGGCAGGTGGATTGATGAACCATGGTGCATAATCTCAGACATCCCACAACTGCACTGTTTCCTGTTGCCTCTGGAGGTGTGGACGAAGACCTTCTTGAGAGATGGTCAACTATTTCCAGAAGCATTTCAGCGTGCCTTGTGGAGGCCGCGTTGCAATCGAAACAGAACAACAAAGGCTGCTTGCGCCTTTTTCTTTCAAGCCGGAGTAGTTTGGGGTTCCAATGCGGTTTCCAGTCAACCGTTCGGGTGGATGGTACAGATTCTGTGTTGCTTTGACTTGACCGAAAAAAATCCACAGACGGAAGAAGCAAAGAGAGATTGTTAAGGCAAACCGCTCTAATTCTCCCACATGTTTATATATCATAGAGGCAAGTTGCAGAACACTGTATGTAGAGGGCTGGTGCAGGTTGATTGCAGTTGGGGAATGATGCATGTCAGAAGAGCATCATATGTTGTGCCTTTTGTTTGTTAAAAAAATAATTATGGACATCTTACAACCTATTTGAATTTGGGGTTGTATTCATGAAAAACGTTGGGGGGAAAAGAAGGTGACAGGGTTTGTTTTTTTAAAATTTAGATTTATTGCAGACGTTGACATAGACATTGTAGATTTCTGTGGCACATTGACAACATCATTGTGAACTCCTGTAGCTCAGTGGTTAGAGCACTCGCCTCGCAAGCGAGAGACCTGGGTTCGATTCCCGGCAGGGCAAAATGTTGGGCAAGTTTACTTACTCCACATGCCTCTGTTTATCTAGCAGTAAGTAGGAACCGGTTGTTAGTCGAATGGTGGATTGCTTTTATTTTGAATAATTCCTTAAAAAAATAATAAATTGGTCACTTCAATCCATGACTGTTTGTGGGGATGCTGCTGTGCGCAATTGGCTGCTATGTTTCGTCCACAAAATATTACAGTCAATTCACTTCATAGTATATTCTGTGAAGGGCTTTGAGACGACTCAAAGATGTGATACGGTGCTATAACAAATGCAAGGATTATTATTATTAATATCATTGACAGGTCTACGCACTGGCTGGGTGAAGCATATCACCTACCGACTGTCTTGTACGCTGATAATGTCCAGCAAATGAAGGAAAGAGAAGGAAAGTGGCTACGAACATTTGTAGGAAGCCACTGATGTGGCAGGGGGTAACATTTAAACAGAGGGAGGATACATACCGAGACGCACAAGTTTATACAGTAGAAACCACAGTGGAACCAATAGCACTTGTGAGTTACACCAGCTGTGACACGTGTGGTTAATTTTCTGTTAGAACGCCAGGCCTCCTGGCTCTTTTTCTCTTTAAGCAATGTTTTTCATTCCGAAAGTAATTTAAAATGCTAATTTTCGGGTTGGAATCGCAGCATTCTGATTGCCAAGCGATTCACATTGCAAAGTCAGGTAGTTTACTACACTCCTGCATTTTAGTGTCCATTTTAGGCTGGAGAATGGATGACATAAACTCTCCTTTTCCTTAATCAGGGGGTTAATTGTTTTTCTTAGGTTCACACTTCATATACCACGTACACCTCCCCTTGAAATGTGACTGTGATTGCATGTATTAAGGCAGCTTTAATGTTTAAGGCAGCCAGTTTCATATAGCTGATAACATTGGTATCATTGTGTTTGACACATTTAACAGCCACATTGCCAATAAAACTGCAAAGAAGTTTTAGTTTTAGACAACATTACCTGTCTCTTCGAGGGGGGGAGGGAGGGAGGGTGGGGAGGAAGGAAGAGGGAAGAAGGCCACCCACATGAAGTATAAACTGCTAATCGGAAAACCGTTTGTATTGGATAATGCGAGAGAGATTCCCAGATTGTATCCATTAATCTTCGAGTGCGCTGAATTAGCCAGTTGCCCAGAGGCACCATGCCTTATTAATTCCACAAGATCTTCAAGCAATTTATGAAGGCGGTTGTTCAGTTTCTATGTTGTTTCAGACGTGCAGTTATTTTCTGAACCTATTCAGCTCTCTGTATAACACGATTGTCTGTATGTGCACTCTCTCCCTTCCCCTGTTCTCTGGCTTTAAACTCACTTCCATTAAGGCCACCAAACGGAATCTGATCGTCCCTAGACTGTATTGCTTGATCGAATTTCTGGATAATCCACGTGGAAGCAAAGCCATTTCAGCTTTGCTTTGGAGATAGCGAGTAGCACTTTATTCTGATCACGTTCTGTCCTTTCTTTTTTTGCTGACTCTGTAAGCATTTATTCCTACTAATAGCGTTAAATTGCCGGTGGAAGGCATTCTCAAAGGAAAAAGGACTGCGCAGAGCTATCTGTCAATATTGCAGTATGTTTCAAGCTGCTTTGGCAGCATTTTCCCTGAAGATTAATCTGCACTGTTGAACTTTGAGGCAGTTTTATTATCTGGAACTATACCATTGATATGTACATATTCGCGTGAGTGGTGATATTTCATCAATAAAGAAAAGCAGCTGTATAATTAGCCCCCAAAAATATTTGGGAACCATTTTCAGACACTTACTATTGTCGAACCTTCTTCCCTAAAGTGTTAGATTAAAATCAAAATTGTGTCTTGCTCTGTCTGATCAAACATTAGAAAAACATGCGCACAGAGCATTGAATTGCTTCGACTACTGTGTTCTTTCTCTTTGGCTCATAAAGCGAGGTGACAGAGTGAATACATATGAACAAAAAGGACTGTACTGTAGTCTGATGTATATTTTTTAAAAATCTCATGTGTGACTGAATCATAAATTGTAGATTTCCAAACAATATTTTTGAATTTTTTTAAAAAATTGTCAAAGGTAAATTAAAGTGGAGTCCTGTAGCTCAGTGGTTAGAGCACTCGCTTTGCAAGTGAGAGACCTGAGTTCAATTCCAGGCAGAGGGCCAAACCTTGGGCAAGTTTCCTTACTCCACACAGAGCCTAATAATAATCCCTCCAAAAAAAAAACAATAATTAAATTGGTAATTTTCAATCTACGACTGTTTGTGGGACATTGCTGTGCGCAATTGGCTGCCGCGTTCGCCCACAAATATACAGTCAATTCACTTTACAGTGTGTTCTGTAAAGCGCTTTGGGACGTCCTCCCGACGTGAAAAGCGCTATATCAAATGCAAGGATTATTATTATTATTATAAAGTAGGATCAGGTTTGTAAGCAAACTGAACGGGGGGGAAAACAATTATCACAAGAAACTGTAGAGTATCGGTTTCTACAAGCTGTAATGGACAAAGTGACGAGAGGAAGATTTCTCCAAATGATTTATATTGCTTGTGAATTCTGAAGGTATTGTCCAAGCTGTGCCAAAAAGAATTGAAATAACATTCAATTTAGATACTCGGGGTTACATTTCTGCATGTGTGGTTTGGACAAGTGACTGGAGAAAGCACGGGACTTTATAATCTATTGCCCTCTGGAGGCAAGCGAAGGAATGGTGTGAGTAATTTTCTCTCCAGGATTTCTGGACCTAGAGCCAAAAGATATAATAAAAGATTATTAGCTCCGAACTGCCTGCCTACACGGGGGCAATTGGAATGAAATTAAGTAAAGATGTTCCAAAATAATTTGAAATACAACGCAAGTTAGAAATGTGGTGAAATGTAAAGTTAGTATAAGAAGGAAAATTTTAAAGTAAAATGTGGGTGGATGTTGAATTGATCAGAACCAGCAATAGGACCATGTCACTTACACTGTAGAAGGAGGCATTTGCTGCTTGCTGTGTGTATTTCCTGCTGTGCGCAATTGGATGCCATGTTTCGCCCACAAAATATACAGTAAATTCAACGTGATGAGGCGCAATATCAAATCCAGAACATAAAGCAAAGCAAGTGTGGCGGCTCATTCTGACATCTCTCCTGACAGCTGCCTTATGAACAGCCAAAATCTCTGAACGCTGGAGGTTTGATGAAGGGTCAGTTGGGCCCAAAACATGAACTTGCTCTCCTCTTTCAGAGGCTGATCGATTTGCTGAGCGGTTTCCAGCAATTCTGTTCTCATTTGAGCTCATTTGCCTGGCGACCATTCTAGTGAAATAAAAAAACAAGGACAATGCTGGAAATGCACAGGAGGTCGACCCACATCTGGGATAAGTCAGGTCGGGTTAACGCTGTGGATGTCGCACTTCATCAGAAGTGGAGCACAGAGGTTGATTGTTTTTTGGGGTCTAAACATGCTCTCTCCCTGATTCCTATATAAGGAGATTTTCCAGCTCAGCCTACTCTGCTGTGAGAACGCTCACACCACTTATGCCCGAAATGTTCACCTATCTGATCTTTCAGATGCTATTTGACCTGCTGTGCGTTTGCAAATTTTCTGCTTTTATTTTCAGGTTTCCAGCATTATTCTTCTTCTTATTATTATTAATGAGAAATTTTCTTATTTTTACGTTTTAAGAAGGAATATAATGCGTTTAGGAAGAAAATAACTGGAATCCTAGTAATCATCTTGCATTTGAACCTTTCAGGTCAGGATCTCACAGAGCTTCACAGGGTTTACTGTAAAGTGTAGCGACTGTATTTTGGAGGTGAACAAATACACAAGAGCTCAGGCGGTATTTTGAATTCACTAAACGTGTGGAATCTTCCAACCTTTGCAGACGTGTTAGTGAATCGGAAGTTCAAAATTGCAATCCACAACAACAAAAAATTATACAAGCGTTACTGGAACTCGATCCAGCACTAATAAAGCACCTTACTACAACAACAACAATTTGCATTTATTTTAGCGCCCTTCACGCAGGGTAGTGTCCCGGTGAGCTTGAAGCTACGGTATGCTTCTGAACTGCTTCAGTCGTACAATTTCTGAGAATCTCTTTTCTATCACAAACAATGTCATTTGTAAGCTGCTGAGGGAATTCAAATGCTCACAGAGTCTCCAATCGTTTTTTGATGATGATTTTCAGCGAATGCAACAGCAACCGGGATTCTGTGCTGTCCTACACCAGCGATCGGAGTAGAAGCTCCTACCTGGGCAGTGACGAAATGGGATCGGGTGAGTTTTTCATTTGAGATTCTATAAAGGTCTTAAGGCGGTCCTACCTTTGTCGGGAAAATTTTTACGTAGCAAAATTTTGAGGCAGGGTCGCAATCCCTCGTGGTGTGTATCATGAAAGCTTCCAACTCGGATTACATGAAAAGAGGCATTTAAAGTTCTACTCCCAAATATCGTGCAGTATACATTTTCTCCTTTTTTTTTACACAGGAGACGAGCTCCCTTGCGACATGAGGATTCCTCTCGACAAACAGGATAAATTGCACGGCTGCCTGGAGCACCTCTTCAATCAGGTGAGTACATGTGTGTTCACTGCTTCATCCTCACGATTCCCAAGTTTAAAATGGCGACGGCAAAATAAAAGTCAATTTTACCTTTGTACATAGACCACCTGTACGGTTCACTGATGTTTTATGTTTCGTGTTCTAATCCTTACAGGTAGACTCAATTGATGCGCTCCTTAAGGGATCAGTTATGGCCAAGGCCTTTGAAGAGACAAAGGACTTCAACACAGAGTATAACATACAAGGTAATTCAGCCTGCTCCTGCTCATAAAAGTTTAGCTGCTAACCACTGCTGAGTTGAATGTTTCGATTGCTTTTGAAAGGGTTGAAATTCTAGATAGAGTAATGGCCGGTCGCATGGAGTGTCTGTAGATTTCCTGCTGGCAAACACGATCAGTGTACAATAGGTGTTGCACTTGGTGCAAAGTAATCAATCTTTCCTGGACCGTTCCTGGAAACATCTGCCGTTCGGTGTAGACAAATGATAAAAGTGGCTTTTTAAGAATTGACTGTAGTTTTTATACGCGGAAATACGAACTTTTAAGTATCTTGTTCTCGTTTACTATGCATTGGAACTCATTGAGTCTAAGATGTTATGCTTATACAATAAACAGCTTTTGTATCCAGAAAGCTGCTAATGTAGAATAATTTTTTGCATGGTTAAGTGAACTCAGTGGACTCTCTCCATAATGTTGTCTTTTGGAAGCGCACAGAGTGTATCAAAACAACCAAACATCAGTCAGGACCACATAATAACCACCACCACGATTCCTCAATGTTTCCGTTCTCTCCACAGATCTCATTAAAAAGATTGTGTCTCTTGCTCACATCCAGTGCCCGACTCTCCCTACTCTAGCCTATTTCCACTTAGCTTAAAGCGAGCAACCAAGACACTCCACCAGTTGTGTAGGTCTGACCAGCTGTACACACAGGTCTACCTATTATATAAACCATGAGTGTTATTTGACCTTCTGTCACAATTCTTTGAAAAATGTAAAGAATGACAATTATACTCTCGGAGAGAGAGAAGGAATGTGATCAATGGAAAATATTCTAACTGCTCCAAAAATTGATGACTTTTTAAAACTTTCTTACAAATTATACCCGTGGGAAATAAAGGGTACAGACCTACCCTTTACAAACAGCACATGGTGCATCCTGTTGGTTCAAGCCGTAGAGAAGTTTTTGACAGAAAGGATTCTACAAAAGGCAACCGTGAAGAGATCCATTAATTTGAAGAGTTTTTCTTTAGAATTTCGACAGAAAGTCGATCGAAACATCAAATACCGGAGCTTAATCCAAACCCACGTGCAAGAAGATCCCTGGAATTTGCCGATCTCAATCAGTGCCCTGGTGGACAATGTAGAGGAGTACGTTGAAGGTTAGTCATTTTTTTTGTTCCTTCATAAAGTGTAACTGAACCTTCTATCAGTCTTTCAGCGTTTTCTGATCGAAAGGCTTTAGGATCAAGAGTAGCAGATGAGGGCTCAGTTTATATCAGCTCCTGTACAGCCCAAACATTTTGGATTTGTTTTATTTTTGTTTTAAACTCACACACTCCATGTCTTTTTCATGGTCAGTGAAAGTTGTAGCCTGTTTGCTGCTGCGTTCTTCAAAGTCGCGTAGGTCAGTAGTTTGAATGAGATGAGCTGGAGATGAGCTTTTATCGTATCTTTAGAGGTTTTGATTATTTTAAAATTGCCACTCGGTACAAACTGGAATTTATCTGATGGACAGTTGTTGATCTTTTCAACAGATGATTTGGAAGATGATTTTTTTCCTCTCTCTGTCTTTGGCAGTAAATAGCAATTGCAGGTTCTGAACCTTATCATTATAGGCAGTGTACATTCTTTCATATTAGTTTGAAAGCCTGGTACAGTCATGTCTCTATTGTGGGATATTGTGCAGGGTCATGGCAGGCATACTTGAGTTGTTTTACAGCTGTACTCCAGGGCATTTCTTTCATGTTCTTGTCTTGAAACGTTGTCCTACATTCTGGAATTCAGTAATTCTGGTGCGTGAAAGAGAGGGCAAACTGAACATGATTGTAAGATCCTTGATGTGGCATTTAAACAGTTACCTTCTAAATTGTCCTTGAATAATTTATTAGTTTCTGACTTTTACATTCCCTTGCTTCTAATGTGATTTTTGTACATTTTTTTAAAAACAAATAGGAATTCCTTTGAATAACCTTTCATACTCTTGTTCCCCACAGATGGGAAGAATCAGTTACTTTTGGCTCTACTTCACTGCACAGGTAAGACATGTCTTTAATCTCCGTGAATGAGCTAAGCCAAACTAATATGCTTCCCTCTGAAAGGTATTTATCTTGCTCTATAAATTCTAATATTAAAGAACAATAGTGGTTGCCATATGTACAGGAGAAAGTAATGTTTATCCTGACGGGAATGTACAGTTCACAGGAGGCTACCTGCATAAAATTATTGGTGAATGTTTGGTTACGAATCGTGGAGCTTAATATCGAAGCTCAAGTGAAAACTTTCAAGGTACAGTCCGACCACCATTAAAACACGACTCATTATAGCACAAGTTCATTTATAGGAGGTGGTAGTCCTGTACTGTATTGCAAATGAGGTAAACTTCCTACGTTGACTGTCTGGCTGGCTTTCAACACTAGTAAAGCATGTGAGAGCAGTCCTTCATGGAAAAACAATCCACTCTACAGGGGATCAAAACTGTGGCTTCCATCACAGTCGTCCATCTCCCTCCATGAACCCCCTTTGATCCTCGGTGGAATCCAAATTCTTATCTGTTCCTTAAGTTAGATCAGCTATTGGTGACAGCTATTGGTGACTGTGTGCCGTGGCAGAATTCTCTTCCTAACAGTTTGTGTCTCTTATAGTAATAATAATAATAATCCTTCCATTTGATACAGCGTATTATCACATCTTCGAGTCGTCTCAAAACGCTTCATGGAATATACTGTAAAGTGAATTGACTGTGTTTTGTGGGCGAAACTCAGCAGCCAATTGAGCACAGCAGCGTCCCACAAACAGTCGTGGATTGAGTGACCAAATTATTATTATTATTTTTAAAAAATTTTTTAGCCCCGAGTCCACTCTGGTTTTTGGTGTACTTGGTTTCTGAAGGTCAAAGTTCAGGCATAAGTGTTTGGCGCTCATTGATCTCAATTCCCAGGGACGCACTCCTGTTGTCTCTATGGAGTGAGTGATTTAGCAGCTTGCGAACATAAGACCTGAAGCAATTGTTTCTTGATTGTCTAGCGATTTCCGTATGTTGTGATTGTATCTTGTTATAATCATATTCTTGTACTAAGTAAAGGTACAATGAGTGCTCTTTCGAAGAAAGCCCTAAAAATAATTAATGATCCATTGTCACTTCGGACTTACAGTTCCCTGCTCATTTTTATCCCTCTTTATTTTCTTCTTCCTCCTCTCCAGACCTAGAGTTACAGCTGCGACGAGACGTCCTTTTCTGCCAGAGCCTTGTAGCAGCCATCTGCACCTTTTCCGAGCAGCTTTTGGCTGCACTGAATCACCGCTACAACAACAACGGAGAGTATGAGGAGGAGAGCAAAGAGGCCAGCAAGAACTGGCTTGAGCAAATCGCAGCCACTGGGGTCCTCCTCAACTTCCAGGCTCTGCTTTCACCGAACGTGGTAAGTTTTAATGGTGCAAAGAGGTGTGATTCTGGCAGTGGGGTGACTGAATTGTGAAAGCTGTCAAGTCTGTCTTCTTAAATTGGGTTTTTCATTACTTTATCTCTGCTGTCGCTGTGTTTGAAGGTCAAACTGTGTACAAGTGAGTTTGTGTGTGCTTTGTATGCGGTTGAAGCAAAAAGCACGAACGTATTTAAAGAGATAACCTGAGGCAGACGTGAAACACAGAAACAGGAGTAGGCCATTCAGCCCCTCGAGCCTGTACTGCCATTCTATAAGATCATGCCTGATCCAGTCCAATTACCCGCCCTTGCCCCGTACCCCCTTAATACCCTGACCTAAGAAATATCTATCCATGAGGATGAAGGGAATACAGTCGAGAGCTGCAGGAGAAAGGACAGGTGGAGGCATGCGTGGAGTATAAACACCGGCACGGATTTGTTTTAGCCTAAGTGGCCTGTTTCCATGCTGTCACCATCCAATCCCCTTCCTCTCTCTCTCTCTCTCTATATATATATATGTTTGTAGATATATATATATCTATAAAATCAACACAAAGCCTATGTCACCAGTGAGGTAACTGTTGGGAGATTTGCGAGAGGAGCTCAAGTTACCTTGTGCCTTGATCCTGTCCCAGCTCCGTGACCACAGAGAAGATGTCCTGGTCCTAAGGCATCTTTTATTTGCTGATTAACGTGAGTGATCATGATCATCTCACAAATGTAGATAGCACCGGTATCTTATTTCTTCCACAAAGTGAATCTTGCAATAGATCCTGAAGAGGCTTTCTGGTAAATCAGAAGTCAGCTCCATTATTGGCTTTTCTTTATCCAATCTGGATGTTATGCGCCATTCACTTTGATACTCGAGACTAATAAGTATCTTTTGTCTTCTGCTGTACAGAGAGATGAGCACACCATGCTGGAGGATGCCAAGGTCACCTTGTCTGATCTCGATAACGTAACCTTCTATTTCAGACAGCTGGAGCATGAATATCCAGTAGCCAGTAAGGATTTTTCTCTCTCACACACACACACACACATGCACAAGGATATTAGCAACAGTTATTGAATCATAGTGAATTTACTTCTGTTTTAAAACGATAAAGTGATGAATTTCTCGAGCAGTAAATTACAGCGGCTCCTTTTCCTCGGCTTTGAGCGTTGTAAGTTCGCAACGACAGCTCTCTACCAAGATATAAAACCACAATCAATTGACCTTCAGGTTTGTTTCAGGCATATGAAGTCTGTTAGGAGAGAAATCAGATTGCGTTCGATCGTAATATTAGTGGGAATGAAGAAGTCAAATCATTTCACGGCAACACTGAAAAATGTAGATCACTGCGAGGAACTAATTTTTAGCAAATCAATAAAGGGTTTCATCTCAAGTTATTAAAGCCAGGGTCTTCTGGTATTGCAATGTGATGCAATGCAATTTCTAGTTGTTGATCACTACCTCTTGATGTTGTTATAGACAGCCCCATCACCTATCAAGTAGAAGGAAGCCGACAAGCTCTGAAGGTTATCTTTTACCTCGAGAGGCACAACTTTGCAGAGCTGCCTTCAAAGTTTCAGAACTGTGGAAGTTTAAAACTCTACACCGTGCTGTTCACCAAAGGTACGACTGGCGACTTTAAACAGAATTTAGGTTTATGCCATAAATAAAAACGAATGGCAGTCGCATTAAAGGGTCAAGTTGAGAGCATAATTGTATCTTATTTTATTCCGTAGCTCTCGAGGGTCACTGTTCTCCAGAAAATGGGTCGGTGGAAGAATTTCAACAGCTGATCAATTTAGCCTCTCTTGAAAAAGTTAAATCGTATTATCGCAAACTCAGGTAAGCCAAACAGTTGCAGGATAAGTGTTGGAGCTTTGCAGTTACTTGATGATAAAAACCTACAACATTTTTGTTTCTCGTTCTTGAATTCTTCTGTGTTGACCAGATAATAATCATAATAATAATAATAATAATCCTTGCATTTGATATAGCACTTTTCACGTCTTCTAGACGTCTAGATGTAGTTTTGCCATCAGTGTGGTTGGGATAAGGATGAAGGATAACCTCAGGTATTGAGTAAAGGGAAGTGCTTTCCTTAAAGCTGTGTTTCATTCCTTTCTTTCACTGATGTCCACCTCTTTACACATGAAAATTCACTAACAAATATAAACGTAATTCTCGTGTTTGCCACAGATCCTTTACCTGAGATCAAACAGATCTTTAGTAGTGTTCTCCTTCTTATGGCTAACTTAACTCACAGCGACTGACTTCTACGATTGTATCTTCCTGCAGGGCTTTCTATCTGGAAAGATCAAATTTACCTTCAGACTCTTCTACAACAGCTGTAAAGATAAACCGGGTAAGATACCTCCAGTGATCCGAAGTTCTGGTGATGCCAATTGTGCATTTCCTTTTGCTCGTGTGGTTAGGAATCCTCAGACAGTTCGGTTTCAACACTGCAGGAGGCAAAAATGTTTGTAGGAAAAGGTGTATTCAGGGTGCAAGACTATTATATGGACCTTGTTGAATCTGACTCTTTACGCAACAACTTTTTTTTTTAACTCTTGCAGCTGCTACGTCCACTCAATGCACTGGAAGAACTTAGACGTTTGATGGAATTGTACATTGGCTCAAAACATTCGGCGCCCACAGTGAACTCGAGCAGTCACGCTTCTGGAATCGCCGTCATACCCATCTCTTCGGAGTTCTGCAACCGCCTTGGAGCTTGTCAGATTGTTATGTGCAGCACTGGCATGCAGAGGTAACCGCTTGCTATTCACTGGCATTTTGTCGAGTCTTGCTTTTGCAAGTGATCCAGAAACCTACACATTGGAATATTTATGCTTAACTGTGCAGTGATTTCCTACGGCTGACTTGAGACTTATGGCTGAATCTCACACACACAGTTTTTCTGTACAACAAGAAGTTTCTTTCAGTACTTGATCTTTCAGTACTTTTGTTTCCCGCAGCAGCTATTTTGTCTTGAGTAAATGCCACATAGAGGGTCTGTTAAATAATAATAATAATGATAATAATAATCCTTGCATTTGACGTAGCCCCTTATCACGTCTTCGAGTCTTCTCAAAGCGCTTCGCAGAATATACTGTAAAGTGAATTGACTGTACCCTATGCTGTAAAGTGAAATGTTCCTAATATTTTCTTTCTGTTTGTTCAGGAGCACTTTGAGTGTAACCCTGGAACAAGCAGTTATCTTGACTCGTAGCCATGGACTTTTACCGAGGTGCATAATGCAGGCCACAGACATCATGAGGAAACAGGTGATGTTCAAATAGAAACCTCAATGAATGAACGCGAGATGCATCTTGGAAACATTTCGCTGTCGCTTTTGACACTCAAGACAAATGCCATTGTTTTCAAATCAACAAGAAAAATGACCTTTTTTTAAAAAATTTCTGCAGGGTGCGAGGGTTGAGAATTCAGCCAAGAACTTGAAAGTAATGGATCAAACGCCACAGTCTGCGCCAAGGTAAAAACTATTGTGCAAAGAAGGACTGCAAAACAAGCTGGGGAATGTATCGCACTTGTTGGAGTGCCCTTAATGGGACACTGATTAAACTTGCATTTGACATGAAGATAATAGTAATAATGATAATCTTCGCTGCATTTGATATATTGCCTTATCATGTTTTCGAGACGTCTCAAAGCGCTTCACAGAATATACTGTAAAGTGAATTCACTGTAAATTTTTGTGCAAAACGTGACAGTCAATTGCACACAGCAGTGTCCCCACAAACAGTCGTGGATTGATTGACCAATTTTTTAAAAAGGGATTAACTAGTGCAAACTGCCCAGCGCAAATGCAACCTGAAATATTTGCAAACACTTGTTAAAATAAAGAACCATTTTGAGTGGTTTGCGGCCTTGTGCTGCGCTCTTGTTTCTGTGAATTGGTGAAGTTAAATCATAATCACAGCTAACTCGTTCTGTATTTCCTTCTAGATTGTACCAATTGTGCCAGCCGCCTTCGGATGGAGACCTTTGAAGGACGAGTTTTGCTTCCTGAAGTCTTTCAGAGTCGGAGCTCTTGGACAATTAGTGATGTCTATACTTTGTCTGTGCATATACAGCAATACAATGGCAGTGCAGCAAATCAGCATGGGCTATGAAGGACAGAATGTTTCCATATTTCTATTAATAGCACGCTGCAGTTTATCTTACTTGAACTGCCTGGCCTGGCTGCATCCTAAACATGCATCTCAGCTTCTGGAATGTGTAAATGTACCAAAATAGCCACGGTACAGAATTAACAATCTGATATACGGTTGCCTCAACTGTTCCCAAGTCCTGGCCACACAGCAAAGTTTTGGGCGGAGTGTGCCAAGCTAGAGAAGTGTTTCAGCAGCATGTTGTTTCGGGGTAAATTATACAGAGTAAACCTACCTACCCAGAGATCCCACCCATTTCCAACGCAGCTCATGCAATTAGGAATGTGCACGGATTTTAAATTTGGATTTCTCTGGCAAGCGATTGCCCTGCGCACACCTGATGTGAATTAAAATAGAAGAATGCGTTTCATAGAAATGGGTTATTGAGTAACGGAAAACCTTCATCTCCTTTCAATAGCTGAGTTAATTTACCCTTGACATAATTTACTCTGTACTTTTCAAACTATAAAACTGAATACAGCTGCGATTCCCAAGTACAGTTGTAGTACAATTAACATGGAAGGACCTGATCTATCCTATGTGGAGCGTGGCTCGGTCTCTAAGAATAGAAATCCTATGAGGTGTCCCTTCATTACAAAACACCGTTACGTTTTTTTTTAAAAAATGGTCCCAGAGACTGAGTTGTTGAACGAGTTTCCTGCAGATGGCCACATGGCCCTCAGTCTTGTGTCGTTTCAGTGATTTAATTTAATTTTTTCCATCTGCTTCCCACGAGCCGCAAAATGGCACATTGAGTTGAAGTGAGAAAAGAAAAAAATATTCTTTCTCATCCGTTTGGGACATAATTATGTTTTGTTAAAAATCTTAAACCTCTCAAGATTTTTTCTAGTGCTGACACGGTATTAGATATGGCTTTATATATATATATATATGTATAAATTCTGCCCAGACCCTTTAGAATCCCTGTTCAAACCCAGCAGATTAAGCTGATGAGTGCATTGGATGGCGACTTCTTTTAAGGCAGAAGGAGCAGATTTTCATATCTTAACAGCCCCAGTGTGGAGTAAAATCAGCTCTCAGCATTCCCCTAAAACAGTATCGATTTGACACGAGATCCCTTCACCACTGGGATTAACCAAGGATCAACTGGAATTAGCCAGATGTCTTGCAAAGAAAGGAGGAAGAAGCTGCATTATTTTAACTTCAAAAATATTTCAGGATATTTCAGTTTGAGCAGGATTATCTCACAGGCATTAAGGACAGCATTGGTGGGAAACTATTGCATTTAGTTTTGACTGTTGTTACATCTGAAGTAACAAAGGAAGCTACGGTTTTAGCATTAACGCTCTGATTTTTGTTTCTGTTACATACTTGCACAATAGATACTGTATAATGTTCAATCAGCTGTCTCACAGGGCAAGCAGATTATTGGATTATATATTGAAGCCCACTGCTTGTGCCTTAACTCTCCAAGGTTACACTCACGTAACTCCAGCCCCTTTCAAATTCACCCGCTTTGTGTTCTTATCATGAGAGTAGTTCAGTGTTTGTGCTACATGTTAAAGAATGTTACCGTTACAGCCTATTCTTGATTACATGTAAAATGTCTTTGGTTTTAAGCTTGAAACTGACCTTCTACTAGGTGAGCAGATGCCGAGAGCAGGCTTGCTTATTTGTACATAGCTTGTTTTAAATTTCGAGTTTTAAATAATTTGGAAAGTGATGTTGAAGCAAGTGGGGAAACTGCAGTGGATTTAATTCCAGTTTGGAGTTCGAGCTTGCTTAATGTTCCAAGACTTTTATTTAGAAATACCTTAGTGCTGAACTCACCCACCCATTTGCTTGTAGTGCAAAGAAAGAGATCATTGTGTCAATCTTAATTTATTTTCCCCTCCATCCTCACCGAAGCAGAGAAAGGAACGTGTACAGAGTGTAATGAGTGAATCATATGCAATGTGCAAGATGGCTGATTCCTCTGAGCCATATGCACACATGAAAGACTATAAATTCAAGGAATTGTCAGTATTTCCAGAGAGAAACTCTCTTTCATCTTTTTCATTGGTTGCATATTGGAGTACTCTCGTACCTCTTATGTGGCAGTTTTTGCTACAGACGAGTAATAATTCAGCACTTCACTCATCAGTGAAGTCCTACAACTTGGATTGAGATTCCATAATGCAGATTAATGAGGTCATTTATCACACGAGGAGTTCTCTTCGAATTTCAGCACCTTTCACAGATCCGAGACGGACAACATTGTAGGGATGTGTAGGAGAGTTTCACTGTAAGTGGCGCGATGAAAGAATGAGAGCGTTTTAAACTCTTCCTACATTGCACATTATGCGCGATCAGTACTTTTTTCATTGTCGTCTAAATAAGGCATTACTTTTTTTTTCCGTTTAGCATTAGCGAAAAGTACATTTTGGGATTTTCTTGACGGAAAACGAATCGAGTCAGATATTCGTTTACGTTCATGTTTTACGAATGGATCTTTGGGTGGTTTAGCTGTTGGCCTGATCCAGTCTGTATCAAGTCAAATATCCATTCCATTATCTATCGTAGCCTTTAGTGTTTTGTGGAAAGTTGAAGAACCCAATGTGCTTTGTTTGGAATGAATGCGTTGTCTTTGTCAGTTGAAAGTTTGTACATAATAGTAGTTACATTTCCAACTTAAAACGTTTCATCTTCTTTCACAGTCGGAGAATGATTCCTCCAGTAGAACCTCACTGTGTGAGAACCTGGGCGGGCAACGAGAGCAGCTCAGCAGTAAGGCTCACCATTCTAGTTTTTGCTGGTTTGAAACTAACCCGTGACCAAAATCCCAAACTCGCTGAAGAGGGCACTCATAAGAGCAAAAAGGTCCAGTCACAATTGACTGCCCTTGATAGCGAGTTTTCAACTGTTATTTTGTTTAAAACTATTCCAACCGTTGTCTTAATTCTTTGTAAGGTGTTTGCAATGAGAAACCTTAACCATGTCCTGTTGTGTTTAATGTTGTTTGCACCTCTCGTTTGGACCACATCATCTCTGCAAATCTGTAAACCTGAGACAATCATTTGTTCCGATGTATTTAGCGATTTGTTCATCAAGAACGGAGCGATTCTCGTGACCATTCTTCTCATTGCAAGTGCAATACTTCTTCTTTGTCAAAGTCCCGCCCCAGAGGGGGGCACTTTTACCCAATCGTTTAGCTTATGTTCACTTATGAAATTGACGAAGCTCTTATCTCTATTAACTTGTTTTTGTTCTTTTGCAAATTATATAACTGCTGTAAATACACCCAGGGTTTGTGATGTAGTTTTCGTTTCTTTCTTCTGTATTCAACAGTTGTACAGCGAGTTTTGTTGATAATTTTAAATTTATTTTATTGAAATAGTTAGATTTTTTGGTCAGTTTTAACCTTTTTTGTTAGCCAGTAAATTTTTATTTACATTTGAACATTCACTGTGTGTGCGTGTGTGTGTGTGTACCTACACATGGACATCAATCCTGTTTTCATTTCATCACCGAATGGCTTGCAATGTAGCCTTTATTGCCACCGAGATACAGTTTTCCAGCCTGAAATAGCACAGAGGGGATCGTTGATCACAGGGCACTGTTGTTCTGGTTCTAAGGCAACACACATCAAACCATTTCACCCTGAAACAAAGTGACAGAATAAAATATATTAATTCATCTTTGGAGCGGAGGCAATTTTTGTTCAAGAGTCTGCTCCCCAGTGCAAATTTTCACCAATCATAGAGCCAAGATTAAATTAAAAATTAGGGCTTAAAGGTAAGCTGGATAGATAGAAGGAGAGAACGAAGAGTGCAGGTGTTAATAGATGTTTTCCAGTCCTGTAGCTCAGTGGTTAGAGCACTCGCTTTGCAAGTGAGAGACCTGAGTTCAATTCCAGGCAGAGGGCGAAACCTTGGGCAAGTTTCCTTACTCCACACACCTAATAATAATCCCTCCAAAAAAACAAAAACAATAATAAATTGGTCATTTTCAATCTACGACTGTTTGTGGGACATTGCTGTGTGCAATTGGCTGCCGCGTTCGCCCACAAATATACAGTCAATTCACTTTACAGTGTGTTCTGTGAAGCGCTTTGGGACGTCCTCCCGACGTGAAAAGCGCTATATCAAATGCAAGGATTATTATTATTATTATTATTAAGATGTCGCTGCACTGAGTGTGCAGCATTTAATAATAAAGTGCACGTACACATTTTTGTGGTGGGGAACATAGTATCTACTGTCTGTCGAGTTGCTCTGCGTGTGAGCAACCAACTATTACGATGCACTCCTTCGTGATCAATGTGGCAACTAAAGATCTACTTAGCGTTGGGTGTTGACTTTACAGTAAATCCTGTCAAGCGCTTTGAGATGCCCTCTGGCGTGAAAGGCTGTATATCAAATCAAGGATTATTATCCGATGACGAATATGTGACCCAGTTTAAAGGTGACAATAAAGGGAAAAAAATACATGATTGCAATTGATAAGAGGTTTCTGAAAAAGCAAGAGGGAAGGTGAATAAAATGGAAGGATCATTTCGTGAAGCGCTTTGAGACATCTTGAAGATGTGATAAGGAGCTATTAAGGATTATTATGACTGGTCATGTGGAAGGTGCCTTCTGACATACAACATATAGGTTTATACTGTACTCAGTGTATTGTCTTGGCTTATATAACCGTAAAGTGTAACAAATAATTGTTACATGTCAAATGCAAAGATTATTAGAATAAATATAGAGTTTAAGAGTTCATTTGGAATTAAAAACTGCATAGCTCAGTGGTTAGAGCACTTGCCTCGCAAGAGAGCGATCTGGGTTCAGTTCCCGGCAGGGCAAAACCTTGGGCAAGTTTCCTTACTCCACACGCTGATAATCATTCCTCAAGACAAAAAAACAATGATAAATTGGTCACTTCAATCCACGACTGTTTGTGGGACACTGCTGTGCGCAATTGGCTGCCGCGTTTCGCCCACAAAAAAAATACAGTAAATTCACTTTACAGTATATTCTGTGAGGCGTGTTGAGACGTCTAAAAGACGTGAAAAGCGCTGCATCAAATGCAAGGATTATTATTATTAATGCATCCATTCCAAAATAGTGGAAACGCTATTAAAATCGGGAGGAGGGGGTGGGAGAGGTGGTGGGGGTGGGAAGGGTTTATGAATCAAATGTGCCAGTAGCTTGTAATATGGATTGTAAGCCAGTTTTAGCAGTAATTTAACGTGTACAGCATTGATTTGAGAACCTAACTGATGGAACAAGTCCTGGAAAAGCGCTGAGACAGGCAAATACAATTCCTGAACAGGACCACACGATGGCGATAATGTAAAGAAAATGATCTCAGCCGGATTGACACAGGTGTTGCCATTAACCACTTTGCCCCCCAGACTCTGGAGCTCCTTAAGCCTCGCACTTCTCTCTCTCTCTCTCTCTCTCCACGTCTTCAAAACCCTACCTCTTTGAACTGGGCTTTGATGACCTTCCCCTCCCTCCCGACTTGCTCAGTATTCCGCCGCCTCCATGTCAAGGGTTTTAGGAGCCTTCAACTTTTGACGTCGCGAACAGACTACTTGGAGCTGGTGAGATGTTAAATTATTTACATCGTCTGCCTCTTGAGGAGGGAATCAACCTTTGCAGTTTACCCGCAGTTATTTTCAAACCCAGCTCACCCGTGAGCTTTTAATAATTCCGAATGATCAGATAAAACCTGAGGTGCGTGTGGGAAGGAAGGTGGAGGTGGGTGAATGCGGAATAGAACGTTCCGAGTTTATCGAGTCGGTAACTTTTATTCTTTCAGATCAGAAGCCATCTTTGCTGTGACTCACCAGCCAAATGTATTTGTATTTTATCTTATTTGAGTAAAACGACCCAATTATTTGCTGAATGTGGGCAGGCTCTCAAATATGCTGTTACTTTATAAAGTTCCATAAGCTTGGGAGAATGCTAACTTGACCATCTTGGTGAAAAAAAATAGAATTGCGACAATCTGTTCATTTTAAATCTGCTTTTCCTTTTTGCCTTAAGATATTTGACTTTTTAAAGATTCACTAGCTGTGCTTTCCCAGGCACAGAGTGTCCTTTACATTCCTCAAGCGACCATTATTAACAAGTGAGTCTTGGCAGTGATAGGCTATGCACCTTATTCCCATCTCGCCTGATGTAGACTCCCGGATCTCACTCACTCACTGAAGGGGCCTCTTGACAATCATTCAGAGCAGGAGCCAGGGCCGATTACACCAGCCAATTTCTGCACCTGCTGAGACCGACTAACTCACAGCTAAGTGCGAATCAGTAACCCTTTGATCTGGACCTAGCTGTGACATCTCGAATCCACAGCACAAGGAAATGGTAATTCTACATTCAGTATATCTTTTCAATAAAAATGGGCTTTCCTAGATGCACATCATACTTTACCCTACACTAAGTGGAGGAGTAACACACAAAATACACAAGTTTCGCCCTCAAAATACACAAATCAATTCACTTTACAGTATATTCTGTGAAGCGCTTTGAGACGTCTCGAAGAATGTGATAAGGCGCTATATCAAATGCAAGAATTATTTTTATTATTATTATAATTATAAAACCTTAAGTGACTACCACACCTCAAAGGCATTGCTCCTTTTCATAGCTGTGTTCTTCATTTCATCTCGTAAGTCTTTTGCTCCAGTAAACTAAGATCATCACCATATTGGCTGAGCTCCTGGGTATCATAATGAGAATGCTTTGCTTCAGCTCTTTGCAAGGATATGTCATTCGCCCTGTTACCACATGATGGTGGCAAACAGTAACTGAAAAAGGATTCACGCTCATTCATAAAGCTTATTGTATGTTCTGCAAGTGGTCTGAAGGGTAAAAGGTTAGTAATGAAACCTTGCAACTTTGCTGGAAATTTTTTGACAGCTTTAATGAAAATGTCTTCTCAAACCCTGAACATTATGAAACCCTGAAAAAAAATTTAGCACCAATATTTGAGAAATACAATGGATTGTAGAGTTTGACTGTTTTCCATGGAAACTAATTTCTGTTAGCCAGACAAAGATAAAGTGGCAAGTTTATTCATTGCTTCTACAGAACAGTTTGGTTTGTATGGCTATCAATCTTTCTCCAAACAATGCGTGGTGCGGAATAAGATTATGTGGTCACTGTCATTCCAACACCACAAAATAGTTTTGTAATTTATGGTGACGTGATCAGGAATGTCATGAAGGAAATACACATTTCAATAAGATTCTGCTCTTTGGGTCGCTCACTGTGAGCCGAACAAATTCTCCTTATTTAAAAATCGTAATCTGATTGGCCTTGTATCACCCACAAATAGGCAGTCACTGAGCTTTACAGTAAATCCAGTGAGGCGCTTTGAGGCGTCCTCCTGAGATGAAAGGCGTTTTATCGAATACGAGTGTTTTCTTTTGTTAATCCTCTGTTATCCGAAACGATTGTATTATTTGCCACGGTCACAATCGAAATTCCAACACTCACAGAGTGTCTTTGTTTTTGTGGCTCCCTTTTAGTAACCGCGTATTGAGCTCATTTTGGTCTATATACACCTTTGCCCGACCTGGTGCGTGAACTCTCCAGAGCAAATAGTTCTTGCGTGCCAATTCATAAGGCGGGTCCCACTCATCAGTCTCCTCCTTTAAGACTCCTTTAATAGTCTTTCTACAAAAGTAACTGATTGATTGACGGCTGACAGCCCGCACACTTGACAGTGGACCGACTCCGAGCGACAGACAATGAATCAAACTGAAATCATGGAAGCGTGAGGCAAGAGTTTTATCACTCAGCCAAATGACAGCTGCTCTTGAAGATCAGCTACAATAGGGGAAAAAAAACGTTCACAGAAATACTACTATAAATGCTAAATTCTGTGGCCATGAGATTTCCCCCCCCACACATGAATCTGATTAACTCTTCGGTCTTAAACTTTGACTTCAATAGGGCCTGTGGAAATGGTTTGCCATATCTTTAATCCTCTCAATTGGAAATCACTGCTCACAAAGACTAAATCCTAACATGTCAAGAAGGTACAGCAGTGCCTGAGGTATTAACATGGGGAGGGAGGGTGGAAGAAAAAAACCTGCTTTAATCCCGAGGTCAGAATTTTGCACGCCGATAAATACGCATAGCAGCTTCAGTTTTATTTTGTCATCAATTAGCAGAAATGTTACTGTTATAAATGAGGTTTCGAACAAAATTGGAGCCGGTATTAATAGAGACAAATTTCTGGATTCAATTCCAGCCCCAAGGTTTCTTCTCTTGTGTTGCATATCCTGATAAGTGACCAGGTAAAATCTCCTCCCGAGACTGCTACTAAACACCGGTAACCATATACACATTGCTGTTGTGCGGTGTGTGAACTCTGGTGACTGATGCTCTTGTTCCCGTTTCCCTCCTCTGTTGAAATGTCCCTGCCATCGTGAGGTTGGCTGCCACGGCTGAGATTAGGAACTTGTAGGTAGAAATTCTACCTGGGTCTAGATTCACTCTATTTAACGTAGCATCATTTCAGAGAATGTGCCGCTCTCTGGCAAATTACCAAATAATCAGTTTTAACTTTGAAGCCTGTTTCTCTGCGGTTCTTTAAAAACTTTCAGAAAACCAGCTTCAGAATTAAAGATTGCAATTTAAGGATTTGACAAATTCTGGATGCTCTTTAATGCTTCGTTGATGGAATAAATTTAGACCCTGATGGAATTTTTACCCATTAATGCATAAAGTATCATGCTCTTCATCAAATTCAGCAGCCCTGGGGGAAACACAGTATATTGGTTTGCTGGCTTATTGTGGGTCAGGGCTTAAACCCATGTAAAGGCAATC